AGGGACAGCAAATTTAGGAAAAAAAATATAACCAAAGTGGAACGAAAGAGAGGACATATTTAGGGTGGCATGTTTTTTTTCCATGAAAGAATTCACCAGATATTTCTACCAAACCGGTTTGTCCCGTACACCAGTAAAAGGCTGCGGTTTGGACCGGACGTGATATTCGTCCTTTGACTAAAAATCTTTACTTGTACCTTGGTTGCAGTGACAAAAACAAAAAGGAGAAAGTTGTGGGAAAATGTTTATTTTCTTTGAGAGTTCACCTTATGAGCGTGGAATACTATTCGATAAACGTCGCTACGTTCCCCGCAAAGAAAAGCGGCATGGAATGGGGAACAAATCCCATCAGAAGTCACTTACACGAGAATCGGCCTCTCGCAATGTGCATACCTGTGGCACACGCAAATATGTGGTCGAATATCTTGCTGGATTTCAACATACATTTACTGATTTTCATCTGTAAGCACGGCTGAACGTTTAGGTAGTAAAAATTTTAAAAAAATGCGTAGGGGAACTTATGAGAGGGGTAGAGTTGTCGCCCCAGTCCTACCTCTCCTCCTCCCTAGAAAATCATGTCAGTTATAACCAGATTGCCTTGAAAAACCAGTTTTACCAGTATTCATTTGCTTACACAACAGTTATTTCCGGTATTAAAAGAATTAGCTCTTTGCTTACTGGCGCTGTTTTCTATAACTCTGTTTCGGAAATAAGTGGCAAATCTCTACTAACCCTTTGTTATTATTGCCTTTCACTCCTGACCCAGTCAACGAGTTGATTTATTGCTAGTCGTAACTTATACGCAATAGTCATGCGACACGTTTACAGACTTAAAGCAATCTTCTGTTCGCAACCTTTGTCGCGCTCAGTTTACATTCACATTTCATAGCCCTTGGGCAGTCTTTTGTACATTGATATGCTTTTTATAGCGACGCAGTTTCATGTCGCAAGCTTAACCGACAGTGTTATAGCTGGATAACGACGTTTGAAATATTCTGTTTCCTAGAATGGTCTTTAATAATTTGGATGACGATATCCTCGAGGGCAGTAATGGAGGTCATGCGCACGGCATGCCATCACATATTGAGCAATAGAAAAACGGATCTTAGACCGGCAATGCTTTCCTAACAGACAGTGTTTCCAAGTGGGCCCTCTTCATTCGCAAACGAATCCAAACATTCAATGCAAAAATATCTAGACAACTTACCTTTAAGAATTAGCTTTACAGGCAAAGTACCTCGTCGTTGCTGTTTCCTCGTTGATCAAAAGGCAGCCACGTTTCACCTAAGCTTGTCGTACAGAGGCAAAATTGTTACCCGAAACGAAATCCTGCGACAATTATAGGCTTCCTTTTTGTCCTGGGTTTTAAATTGAGGGAGGGGGAGGATTTTGTTCGGTACAGAATCGATCATTAACAACCAAGGCCGAATTCAGAGTGTTGTTGGACCAATAGTGCGTGATTATTTGTGGGAGTTGTTGGAGGCGGGGCCTTATCATATTACAATAAACAAAGTAGAAAGCATGCGCAAGTCGTCTGAATCGATCCTTTTGCCAACAGCATTTCCGCAGGAAAAATTTACATATAATCTTTTACACGCGATTTTTTTACTGCGTAGTACCTTTTCATTACTGAGTACATGATAATTATCACCAGAGACATGTAGATTAATCGAAAATTATTATCCTTCCAACCTTCAACCTTAATGTTTTTAAACCTTGGCATTCGACATTAACTGATCTTCTAGGTAAATAGGACGACACAGCGGAAACGTCATATTAAAATACTTTTTTTAAAAAAATGGTGCGACTATCGAATGAAAAGCTTTAGCTATCAAGGAAGAGAGAAAAGATTGTTTGGTGATCGCGTAGTTTTTGGACTATACCGTAAAAATAGAGCGAATGAAATAGGGTCCAGCTCTAATTGAAAGCGTGATCCTTTCTACTTATCTTCATATGTGAGATGTTTTGCATTCAAGTGGGATAAACGATAAAATTATTGACAAGCTCGGCGGGAAGTTGGACGACGGATTCTCGTAAAGGAAGATTTAATTCGCTGTTTCACTCGCCAGGCTTGAAAAGGAAACAATTTCACTCACCAAGTAGGAACAAGAAGAGCCTGGCACAGGAAGTATTTACCGGGATTTAGAAAGTGCAAGTTGGCACAGACGTCACAGAGAAAAACTAATATCGTTCTGTCTTGGCGGTGGAACAAGGAATTTAACTTTTGTAGAGAATTTTGCCGATCAAGGACGCCTGTTGCGAAGCGCTATTTTGTTAGACGATGTTGCTCAAAATGAGTCAAGGCCAGGGTCACTTGTGCTATATTTCTTCTTTTGTGCTGAGTTTGTAACAATGGGTCTTTTATAAAATTCTCTAACGCACGTGATGGGTCGATCTTCCTTTTTCCTTACGTGACCATTCGGGACCTCAGAGTCATGCTTGCCTGATATAGGATGGACTCACTCGGTTGTTCATTCCGTTATCCATCCATACAAGCAGCTATCCATCAGCCCTGTATTGGTTCGTCCGTTTGATAGTTCGTTCTTTTGTCAACTCGCTCTGCTCACTTATTTATTTTGATGGAGGTAGTCATTCCTCTACGTGTTTCTTGGTTCTTAACTTAGTTGGCGTCGTTTAATAAGAAAGCTAGGACTTAACAAAGTTTTGTCAGGCCTTTATTTCTTGTAAATCTTGTTGTTAAATAGTAAGGGACTTTTTACCGATAGCGAACTTGATTCGTCTCCTCCCCGCTCCCGCCCCCTTTTCCGCCCTCATCCCATCTCAAGGCATCCCCAGGGGTTTTTCGTATTGTTGTGTTACCCCGTTTTAACATTTCATATACCTGTATCCCTATTCTAACTTGGGTGGGCTTTGTTGTGCCCGAAAACAATTCCAGCGTCATCGAGGATCCGACGACGCATTTCCCAAAAGACTAACAAACAGACCCCCACGATTAAACTAAGGAGACATTAGGTTTCTAGGTTTCGGTGAAAAGAAAACGCGTACTTTTTTTATCCACTAATGCAATTTGTTTCCAGTATGAACTGATATCTCTAAGACATCGATCAAACAAGCTAGAGCGTAAAGCCGAGTATTAATTAACGGCTTAGTATTTAGAGTTTTGGCATGCTAGAAAACCTCACGAGTTTACCAAGAGAGCTGGCAATAAGCCTGTTAGTCCGTGGATAAACTCAACAAATCTAATTCTTCCTATCGTTTGGCATGTGGTGTTATTGTAGCTTGCAATTCTAGGAAACGTTTTCTCAGCTCACGTATCTGACTAGTTGTTGCAATGATTCTTTTGCAAGGGAAGCCATACTTGACCCGTAAATTATTTTTGTGTATCACATGTTCTTTTTCTTCTCTGCGCAACAACGGAAATATTTAGGATACGAATTTTTCGATCATCAAAAATTAACGAAATGCGGATTTGCGAATTTTGAGTTGCTCGGGTGTGAAAACTGTAGCCATTTAAGATTGATTCAAGGGAGTTTTGCCCGAGGTACTCTTTTTGCTAGAGAAGCCGAAACTTCTAAAGTGGTGACATGTGCCACACGCGTAGCAATTAATCATCCCAGGCATTCCTGGAGTGTATTTTTGTTATTCTCATTATCGTTGGTGAGTTTGTTGTTGTAATGGTTGCTTTAAGTTTCAATGAAATGTCTAACCCGTTACAAACGATGATGTTCTCGAACCGAGCTCTGTAGGAATGCGGAATTCTCACTGAAGTTTGGCGCACGTTGTAAATTACTCCCCAGGGGATTTAATTTAAAACCAGTCGATGCATGGTAAGCATTCTGCTCACGAAAAAAAAAATGATGTTAAGACCTCATCACGCACTATTTGGTATGCGTGAGCACCAAAAATAGAAACTGGAAAAACTATTTCTGGTTACGCCATAATTTCTGCTCTGAAACTCAAAGAAGCGGGGAGGAAACACAAGTTATTTATCTTTCAGACTGAGGACAACAAATGCTTAAAAAATTGTTATTATTGCTAATGAAAGCCTCTCCGGCCGGAAAGACATAGATCCGTATAAAAGATGTTTTATTACAATCCAAGGGTAGACTAAAATAAATGCGACGTAATCCCTGATTATATAAAGTCATTGTATTAAAACGCCCTCTCAGCCGGAAAGATAGATCTTAGCTCAGACGAATTTAGAAGACAGCTACATTTAAAAAAAAAAGAAAAGAAAGCTTATGTATGGTTCGGCCAGTGCGATGTGATCCGTCCGAACTGTTAGTTATCAATGATGTTGTTGTTGTCTCTTATCAGTTATTACAGACGTAATTGATGCCAAAGTTATCGATATTTCCCGAGGGATAATGAATGCGCTCTATTGTGTACATATCAAGCATGCTCTTGTCGTGGCTAGAAAAGATAGGGACAATTCTTGAGAGGAACTTTGAATCCAACAACGAATGAGAACCGAAAGTTATCAAAATAAGTTTGTGCTAGCCATATAGGCAAGATCGCTCACATGCTTTAATCCTTTTCCTCGCCATACCTGCGTGGCTCACTTACCAGTGCCATCTTCACTTGCTTCACGCCGGCGAGATTCATTTTGTCCTTTGTTCAAGTGCACTTGTACGGTTAACCCTGTTCTTCTATAGGAACCAGAATTACCGATTCAATGTTACTCTTAAGCTAGCTTGGCAGATATCCCTGGGATTTGAGTCCATTTTTGACCCCTGGGTTATCTTTTTAAGTGGAGAGTAAATGACAGCCCTAATAATTGGGACTATCCCTACTGGGAAACATTGAATCCTTTACATACTAACGTCAGTATGCATATTCTCCGTACTGTTCTCATTGCATTTCCTGAGGTGCTGATAAGGAGAATTTTATCCCTACGATTGACTAACACACAATTTCTCATTACAATAACCCTCCAAATACCTCCATTCGCTTTGACGAAGGGCTAAAGCGCGATACGTCAGCTTTGAAACTCTTTACAGGGACTGACACCTACTACATTTTGAGATTATGATTTATTTGCCATATCAATTATCATGTATGTGGTAGCATTTGAGGATACTGATAACAGGCTGCTTGCTCTACATCACTGAAACAGTAAACATTGCATGCTCGCATTTCATGCAAGGCATAATCATTTATCTAGCTTGAAAGTTGAAAAAACGTTACATCTCACCAAACAAAAATCAATTCGTACTCAATAGGCATCAAAGTAGGCGAGCAATTGTGCATGTTGTTCATTCCCATATTCTGGTTCGTTTATATTTATCAATTTATTTTCCCCACATGTTCTAGAACCTTTGCAAAACTTTGAATATCTTGGAAAAGACTTGTATCTTTATGAAAATATTATCATTCTATAAATGTTGAAAATGGAGGCACCGAGTCAAGAGTTAACTTATGTCACCTAAAGCAAAACTTAAGGTTGTTGTTTAAAAAAATTGCTGTGATAACTTGATATGTCAAGTGATAACGATACGGTGCTTAAAAATGCAAGGGTTTGTTTTTTATCAGCAGCTGTTATACAATGAAACACTGATCCAACGAAACACAATTGCTGTTAAGTTTCAAGGAGCTTCTTTGAGAAACACAAAAATATCAACAGAACGGGATAAGATATTGATTTGAGATAATATTCTGCATCTACTTTAATACGGACCACGCAGCTCAATTAAAAAAAAGCATTTAAACTCATATGGTAGCAGCGAAATGTGTGACAGAGTGGTTTTCTGTTTTGGTCGTTTTTTTTTTCTTTTTTTCTTTTTCGCCTAGCAGATAGAAAATAAAGATAAGGAAGCAGTCATTATTTATCTCCAGAGGAAAAGGTTTCGAAATTTTGGGGGTTATCCCATTGTTCTCTGGGGAAAAGGAAGGGGATCACTCGTCGTCAACAGATTAGTATAAAAGGGGGGGGGGGGGCTTTTACAAATTTACTGCCAGTGAGGGGGGAAGGGAAATAAGAAATTGCAGAGCCTTAACGGTGATCAGGTACATTTTATGGTAACACAAACCAGAATCCTCCAAATCCCCCCCCCTCCCCTTCTTCTCCTCAGGCGATGAAAAATGACTGGTCCCTAAGAAAAGAGCGCAAATCACACATGCCTGGTTTAGTGGCAAACCGACAATTTGATGTTTCTGAATGTATATGGATAAATGCTCTATGTTTTATTCACTTTAAAACGAATACTTGCTAGTCCCACATCGTTTCCAGCATAGCACCAGTAATATCCAAAGTCGTCCTCTTTTTTAGGCGTGAATGTCAGTTTACTTAGGTTTTCTGTAGAGTTCACACCGACTGAGACCTTTGCGCCTTCTCTGATCCACGCGAACACTGCCGGAGGTTTGGCATCAACTGCGCATGTCAGAGTAATGTTTTGACCAACTCTTGTTTGAACAGTAAGATTTGAACTAGCTTTCTGGTTGTGGTACGGTTTATCTAGTAAATATAATAAATGAAGCAGGATTAGTGAACACTTCACACGATGGCGCTACCTTCTCTCCTTCTGAGGCGAATTGGAAAATGGCGTGTGGGTCTTAGTGGACTTTTTTGGAGGGAGAAAAAAAAAGAGGATAACTCAAACTTAAGCTAAGGAACGAAAACGAGAACTTATATTGTCTCAACCCTCAAGGATCATTGGGTTCATAACTTTAAACCACAAATCACGGTTGAGATGCGGGCGCCCATCTATGCCCATAACTCCCCAATATACCCGAGCTAAAACAAAGTAGCAAGGAGCAAAAACGAGAACCAATATTGGCTCCACCCTCAAGTAACATTGGGTCCATAACTTTAACCCACAAATCACGAATGAGATGTAGGCGCCCGTCTATGCCTAAAACTGCCCAATATCCCCGAGCTAAAACAAGGTATTATAGGATAGAGCTGTCCATCACTTTAACTAGCAAATATATAGTATTATCAGTATCATCGTTAAATGAAATGATTATTTTTTTTTTTAGTATCCAACAAACTTGTTGAAAGATTTCCAATCAATATTATGACTAGATGGACATTATTTTGATATCTTCCTTTCCTGTACTCTTAATTTTCCTTGTTGTTTTCTGTGCAATACTTATGATGTCAGTTCTGAAAATTTGGTATCAGATCAACTAATAATCCTCGAATTATATTTTTCCTTATTCTAGTCACTTTTCTACTTGATATCGTAAAGTGATATTCTGTCTTTGTTGTGAAAGGGTCGCTCTCCCGCTTAGCTGAACCCTTGAACTCCCAAGATCTAATGTTAACTCTTCTCTTTAGCTGCGTCACATTTCCTTGTAAAGTAACTGGGACAATTTGGTGTTAGATCAAGGAAACAACTTTTCCCTAATTAGTTTGAGTATTCTCATTATCTGCTTGCTGGAGAATGTATGGATATTATAGGGAGAAGTAAAATGTTGATCACTTCTAGGTTAACTAAGGCCAATGATGAAGCATTTACGGCACCCGTGCAATTGCCAAACGCCAAACCGAGTCTATGTTCAAGGGAGAGGCCTTTTATGTTACCCAAAAGTTGACCGCTTAAAACAAATTCTAACTTAATCTGATGATAACAGAATTCTATGCCATCCTGCGGGGGAAAAAAACCAACAGCACTCTTTGGTGTACTTACAGCGCACGACCCTGACTAAGAAACCTTCCGACACGTTACCAGCTAGGTTCGTAGCCGTACAGTTGTAGGTACCAGCTTGGCTCCGCTGGATGCCTGAAATTCTGAGCACTGTGGCTTTGTTGGGCAATATCCTACCATTGTGCATCCACAACATACTCGGCACAGGGTTCCCAGTTGCTTTGCAGTTCAACTCTACCGTTTGTCCTTCTTCACTATCTATAGTCCGGTTCGATCGACGGACGAGTTTTGGTGGATCTGTGAACATGAACGCAGAAAATACTCAATTCTGTGACATACTGTAGCGTTTCTGAAGTGAATATTCATACTCCGATGGGATAATCATAAATTATTTCCTTAATAACCTTACTAAGTGCTTATCTAACTGCATTAAGTGATTGACTTTTAGAGTAATGAACAATAAGTATCGACCATGAAAAATTAAGACTCAAATAAATTTGGTTTAAAAGTGAGTCGCCCAATCCTAACGGTTACAATGCACGCTGGACTCCGCTTCAAGAGGTCCGAGTCCGAGCGCTAACTGGATTTTTTTGTCGTGTTCTCGGTCAAAGCACTTAGCTCCTGTCATGACCCTCTTCACTCAAGGGTATAGATTCCCAAACGCCCTTCCCCCCCACCCGCTTATGCAGAGGGAGAAGATATTATCTTAGTCGCTTAAGCTTTTGGAACTGAGATAACTTCACGCGGCAAGGATCTCTTGACACATTTGCAATACTAAGGCATATACAATATACCGTCGGAGCCAAAATATTACGACTTGGCATCGCTGAGAAAAGAACCTTTAGAAAAAGTGAGATCAATTTCTCTCGTGAATGCTTGTGATCCACCTCCCCCAAAAACAAACTCAGGCTCATATCTGCGTATACCCATATGAGGCTTCTGTTATGGTGAAATCAGGAGACGGACATGAAAATTCGATAAGTACACTTATGTGTATTTGCAATGTGAAACACATTTAAAAAGCATTCGGAAAGCATGTAAAAAATGTCAACCCGTCCAAACAGTGTTACCCCATGCCTTTCAACTAGTACTTGAAATCTGCATGCAAAAAGAAAAAGAAATACTAACACTCAGGCATGCGTCTCAGGACCTCCTTTTTTTCTTGAAAAGTTTTTAAACTCTGGCCTCCTGAGGAGATTCTAAGTAATAACTATGAGTGCTAGTTCCAAAATTTGATTGGGAATAATAAGTTAATTCTTGAGACAGAATATTCTGCTTGCACTTACCAAGGACGATAAGTCTTATTGGACTACTTTTGAAAGTCTCCCCGTACACTACTCCTATACAACCATACGTTCCGTCATCTGTGTAAATCGCATTTTTCAAGAGAAAATCTAGCTGACATCTTTCGCGGCTTAGTGTACCGGACCACACAGCTCTGGAGATGACAGAGCCTGGTACTTTTGGGTTGGACCACACATTTTCTTTGCTATCAACCGTAAGGAATTTGTTGCCAATATTGCCATAATTATCGGTCTCTGCTCCCCAAAAGACTTGCTCAAAGTTAGTCCAGTCCTCCTCGCTGCCGAAATTGCATTCCCATCGGAAAGTGGCGTTGGATCCCAAGTCAACGAACAGGGTTTTTTCTGGCTCCTTCATAAACTTTGTCTCTGTATGAACTAGACAAAAATAAGCATATGTTATTTAAGGCTTCTCTTTCGTAGTGCAGCTACCAACGTGGGTCAACTTCTGAATACATTCAACGTCGCTTCTCTCTGTGCCGTAATGGCATCAGGTGTTTTTTCAGCTAATTTCAGTAGAATCCCCATATTTTGCTTTAGAAAGAAGCGATTAAGGGTGTTGCCACTCCCGTAGATGGGGCGCCAGTCCACTGCGGGTAACCCCTGATATTTTGCCGTTACTCATTTATACTCCCAGGGAGTGTCTTGCCAAAGAACAAGGGCGTGGCTAAGGATGGGGGGGGGGGTCCTTGGGGTGCCCGTGACTTACCCACCTTTGTGAGTCTTTTTTTGTCACATTCAGTAAAACACGGCGTCGAGGTCGACATGACAATCTGTTGAGTACCCTCTGTTTGACACAGTATGACCTCCTCCCCCTTTGAAAAATCTTGGCTACGCCCCTAAACAACATAACCTGATGACCCCACAAAGAGTCAATACCAGATTTATCGACTAGGAGTCCAGCCACCTTGTTTCCCATAACTCTACTCGAACTGAGGGTTACAGATATCTCTGCAGCTGCTTACAGATTCTACGTGTCTTTAACACATATTTTCTTTTCATTTTCCTTAGCTCCAACAACTGAAAACGTAAATAATGAATCGCGAGGGTGACTTACGGCCGGCAGTCAGGGTATGGTGAAGGATACAGCTCAACAAGACTGTTACTACTTTAATGATCGCCATCACTTTAAATCCAATTTTGGTGGACAGAAAATCTATATCAACCTGGAAAGAAGAAACGGAACGGCCACACACATAAGTGACTGTATGTAATTACTTTAAAGCTGTTTAAGCACTGCAGTAGGCTGCACACTACTGACGCATGACAGAAGCCCATAGTAATGTGCTCTTGCGCATGATGATTAGAACATCATTTTCCAAAAGGGATTTCCTTTCCCAATGATATACTATCTTTTTCATGAAAATATCATAAAGCTATATAAGCCCAGAGCTAGACTTGTGTAAATCTATATGAGAACAGCGTTAGGCTACACACTACTGACACATGATGATAAGACCATCAGGCTATACTACTGAATACCCTGCCACCCATTTACATGTCACTGTACAAGAATAGCGTCTACTGTGTTATACCTGGTTCTTGAAAGCCTCACGACACATGTAAATGAGGTGGGCCAAAGTGGCAGGGTATTCTGCAGTTACTCCAAGCCATCATTGTACAAAAGGGGTTTCCTCTATTAATGATATACGATCTTTTTCATGTAACTATTATAAACCTATATAAGCACAGTGGTAGACTACTGTAAAGCTATATAAGCACAGCGGTAAGCTACACATTATTGATGCATGATAAGACCATCATTTTTAAAAAGGGATTTTCTCCATTAATGATTAACTTACTTTTTCATTTAACTGTTACAAAGCTATATAGGATGAGTGGTAGACTGCACATTATGGATGCATGACGATAAGACCATCATTTTTAAAAAGGGATTTCTCCTTTTAGTGATCCTCTGTATTTCGTTTTTTCTACTGGTATTCATGAACGGTAAGCCGCCCATCAGATTTGAGACAAACACAACTACTCTTTTTTTTTGGTTATTTGTTTGGGCCATGTACAGTGAAGGAGAGTGAGTCACACTAGTCATTAATATGTCACATGATATATTATCACTAATCACGCGATGAAAAATCTGTCAACAAACAATTGTTATGATAAACAATCAGTGAAAACAAAAGAGGTGATTCTATGCGAACCGTAAATACCTGACTCAATAAAAAAAAAATCATACATTTCTCAAATTCAAGTAATCTGACTCTCTGTTTACTCTGTAAATTTACTTTTATATGTTAAGGGATTTCAAAATAACCTCGAAGTTCAGTTTTATCTGATATAGCAGATAAAGCACGAAAGACAATTAGAGAACTTTATTGACATGCTTGCTAAAAGAAAACAAGGGAACTTTTCTGATATACTCATCTTTCGGTCGAATCTCTGCTATTTCCCTCTTTGCCACTGTTTTTTGTTCATGTATATATATATATATATATATATATTTTTTTTTTTTTATTTTTATTATTTTTTTTTTTTTACTTTTCCTCTACATTACATGTGGTACGATTGATAGTTTTATGAACCATGCATATGAAATGGGGGAGAAAATTTTCTGCTATTGAGCGAAGATAAGTAATGAGTACAATTCAAAATTTCCCTCTCCATGTTCAAGCATTTTCGTTATTTACTTTTTAGGAAAACAAATTGGGAAAACTGTGGCGGATATTTGTATCACACTTTCTCTCGCTCCAAGAAAATAATGCTTCTTCACGCGCGCGTTCTCGTCTTCTAACGGAACAAACCTCGGTCTTTAGCTCTTTTTCTTACGAGAATCTAAAGGTCCTCAACGATACCTTGGACTGGTTGATGCTTGTCACGCATAACATTCTTACTATCAGATTGTACTGACATGTTACGTTTAAATGGAAATCAGATAATTTACGAGAAGCTACACAAAGAATTTCGTCGCTGAAAAAAATCTCTGTCTTGAAAAGCATCAACCCTTTAGTTAACTCTTACCTTCAGTGAAACGCATCAATTTTAGCCTTTGGTGACTCCTTGCGACACAACGCGCAGAGTAAGAATAAGCTTTAAGGTGTTCGTGCCCTGATACAGGCGAACTTTGTCCCATCACTCTTTGGGGTAAAAGTATCTGTATGCGTGGCACCTGACAGACAGTAGGCAACCTGTTGAAAAAGATTAAACCAAGTAAGCTCTGAGCTATTCGGTTGATCAGTCGTCCAGGGAGAAACTGACAAATCGTCTCCTAGGTACATGAGATAAATCAAAGAGGAACAAACACTCAAAGCTAATTCACACTGCCTTTTGGTTTGTTATCTCTGAAAAGGATTCATTCATACTATGGAGTTGACTCAGGTGGAGGTTGCACCATTACAACTTAAACAAATATTCTTTTTGGGGGTCCTTTGTGAATCAGGGAGATCTTTCACCGATCCAAGTGGCTGTCAATATTACAAAAAAAAGACGATTGAGTGAGGTTAAGAAGGCTAGCGCTTTTTTGTAACAATCCTTGAAAATTGGACTCTTGCCTTCCGACCAAGGTTTGTAAATTTACGTCGCGATATTCAATAACTAATTGTTTGAAGATAATGGGAACTTATCACTCCTGAGATAGAGATGGAAAAAGCAATTTGAGCAGTGTAAAAGCTCCACCTTTCGGAAGCCCCGCAGGAAATGAGAAACTCGTGTGAATTGAAAGTTAACGTTCCTTTTTTTTTTGGAACGGACTCTGGGCCGCGGGGGGCAATGTCTTCTTTCATGCGTGGGCAAAGCTTATTGTTAATGGCCATTATAATGTCTGATACATTTCGAGGTTGTGACCCAAAGAGTTGGAAATTAAGGAGCAAAGGAGGAATACAGAATAGTACGTGCTCACGAAAACGAAAGCAAAAATATTTTTGTCAAGTGTCGCCTTCGTGACTATCACAATAACGTTTGATTCCAAATTCTGTCTATCAGAGAACTGAAAATGAAAGCGCAAAAGATGCCATGTGAAAAATCATACACAGATCAATCACTCCTCACAAGTTAGGTCATCAAAGCTAAACCTGATGTTTTCAATAAAAAAAGGGAGAGGAAGTCAATGGCGGAGTTGTTTTCCGCAGAACCATTTTTTATTACGTACTCATTTTTACACACCAAACAAAAATCCGTTTTTAACTCTATTCATGTTATGTGATCTAAGTCTCTCCGGTAAAATTTTACTCATCCTTCTCCTTTAGTTACTTACGGCGACGTTACGTGATCAATCGAGCTGTAATTCAACTTTTGGGCACGCAACAATTTCAGAGGGCAGCTGCCCGTGAGCTATCGATCGAAATTTCTCCTCAAAAACGAGACCAAGTAGCAGCTCACTCAAAGGAAAGTCTTTCCACGTAGCAGAATCAATATTCGAGTGAATGTGTAATGCGGAATTATTCTATTTGTTTTTAAAAAGGGGAGTTACAGCAAGATAGTCTCTGAGCCTTTCAAGTGAGAGCCATGTTTATGTCGCCTAAACAAAACAGAGGTGCTCCTTTAATTATTTGATGATCGATGTTTGGACTGCTCAATTAGGTCAACTGAGAAGGATAGCAACAGTTGAAACGACCTTGAGTCTTGTATTCCAAGTTCCAGATGAAATGCTCGGCCGAAAGTGATCTTCTGTGTTTAGAGAGAAGAAAAAGTTGGCACAAGAGGACATGATCATGTTACTACTCTCGTTATTAAGACTGAGTGACTGATTGATGTTGTTCGATGGACTGATTTCTGGATTGTTTGGTTCATTTCATAATCTATCATCGGTTTCTTTGCTTATCTATTCATCGATTTATTCCTTTGAATTGAATTGTTAATTGTTTGATTGATCGCTTGGTTGACTGATTGATTCATCAATTGTTTACCGACTTTTATTGGTTGATTTATACCAACATTGTTCAGTCATCCAATATTTTTACCATTTCCTCATTCATTTTTACTTTGAAGAGCTACAAATGGGGCAACCTCATCATGTTCCATTAGCTGCTTCACGAAAACATTTAAGATGTCTTGTCCACGATCACGACAAAGTGGACACAATAACAGGCGTTCCTGCATAATTATTGTTAAATAACAAAAATTAGCAAACTTATTTTCAAGACAGAAAAGTATGGAAAATGACGATTATATATTGAAACCATGGAAAGAGGTGTGGGGTTCCATAATCTTAACCTGGAAAGTAGAAACTTTGCTTTGGGTATCTTAATTTGCAACAATTTCCTCAGCCAAAACCAGGAGAGGATAAACTTTATCCTCCCTTGTCAGAACCTTTTCATGGCACAATTGGATAATTTTCATTTTTCACCCGGCAAACCTTTGCCAACCCTTAAGTTTGTAGAAAGGAATAGCTACGAACACTGGCACCAGTCAACGAGTGAGAACATTCAACAGCAACGAAAGAAAACCCATTCGTGTTTTCTTTTGACTTGGATTATTTATTACTGCAGCAAATTTACAATCAATGTTTAAATTCAATTTACACAATATTTATCTACGAAAACAATGAAGAGATTTCTTAAACTTGTCAAGACTGATACATTGCCATTCTCTTGGTATGCGTTGCGATAGGTATATTTTGAGCTTATTACCTTGAAGACCATGTTTATAAGGACCAATATACAAACACGACTAAGTGGCTTGTCACTATGGTCGGCGAGAAATCAAACAAAAGAAAACCAACTTTTTATCTACACTTTACAAATACTTGGCTGTCCCAGTATGATACAGTCGTATAATGTGTTTTTGTAAACTAATAGTTACAAGTTCATGTCTCGCTAATTACTGTAAAATGAAAAACTACCCCGAAATGCCAGATAAAAGAGAAAAAATTATAGCGTAATCGAAGTCGTGTTGTCACTACACAAAGTGTTACCGAAGTATTGAACATGCTACTTGAACCAGATCACTGGGAGATACGGACTCAGCTTGGTTGTTTGCTCAGTTATTAGCCTGAAAATTGGAAAAAAAAGAGTAGAATTAATAACATCAAAATAACTCAACTTAGTTAGGTTTGATATGTAATATTTGGGCTTTTTATTGCGCTTTTGATTAACATGCGAACTGTGAGATTCAGAGCCAAACTTACGATTTCCTCTCGTGTTATCGTAAATTATTGTACGAGCGGCCATTTTGTAACTGCGAAACACGAAATGGAGCGAGATCCTTTAATTTCAGTCAAGCAAGGAAAATGACTTTTTAAAGCCCGCTTAAACAGCGCGCGTGCCTCTTCAAAGGTCTGCAACATTGCTCAGGGTTAGGGTTAGTAAATTCAATGTAACGTAAACTTCATTTTCAATTATTCATCAATAATTTCAACACTCGCATGTTAATGAATGCTCATCATGATTGATAAAAAATTATCAGAGATGCAAAATGCCAGCAGACACTAACTCTAAGTGCGGTCCTCTCCTAATCGGCTCCAAAGGTTGGTTATCCTTATTTACAGTCTTAAGATGGCAAAAGCGATCATGTCTGTTCTCATGCCAAACACTCCTGATAGATCTGCGGCACCATTTATACTCTTGAGTGTGAATTTGTGAGAGCACCGTATCCTACCCAAAGTTAATCTTAAAACATACACTGAAGTGATAGCTTAAATGGGCAACAGAACTTACCATTACGTAACTGTTAAACGAAATGGTTGGCTAACTATGTCTACTCCTGCAATGTCCGCATCGCAGCCATAAACGACGTTTCCATCCGATCGCTGCACATCCGTTATAGTGAACTCCAGCTTGCACCCGGTTGAACTGATGGTTCCAGAATAACTAATCCGACCTCTGAGATTCTTCGGAAGCCTCTTATTGATAAACAAAGAAAGGATGCCCTTTGTAACGGTTATGTATTTGTTGGTTACGTGGCCGCTGTCAACTGTCCCCCAGACAAACTCATTAAATTCGGTCCAATCCTGTCTGTTTCCAAATTTAAATTTCCAGACAAACGTCACTGAATCATTCACAGCAACATTGACATTGACTGGAGGTGTGGCAGTAAACCGTGTGTTAGAATGGACTGAAAGAAAGAAACAGATGATTTTCAAAGACTGTAAATATAAAAAAGTATTCCAAAACTACCCAGTTGGGTTACAGTATCCACTCTGAGTATCACTCTAACGTACTTTCACGTACTCTTCTTGCATAACCAGTTCTATCATTCTTAAATTGCACTGTGCAGTGATCAACAGAGGTGTCACCCGCGAAAACTCAAATTTTAGTGACAACTAGTGGTTTTTTCTTTCTATCCGGGTCTTCAAGGATGTTTTAAGCATGTGAAACTGGTCAACATGTAGACGTTTGGATGTCAGTTCGTTCGAATTTCACTACAGGAGAAGTTAGTAGACAATAAACTTTTCTGTTATCTGCTGATCTCTAAATCTTGCTATTAGATCTAAGCTGTCGAGACTCAATCAGGTCTGAAAAGCTCCCCACTCTCAGTCCCTACTTTATCATGATGAGTCATACGTGATAGTTTTCAGAAGTGTTTCATTTATTATGGTCAGCCCCTTTATACCTCAGCTGCCTCTGCAACCGTTGCAATGTAGCTGATATTGGCGAACTTCATTGGCAGCTGTTTTCTCATCCATCTCATCACGTATTGTGGAATAAACATGTTTTCTTTTACGTAAAATCCTCGTAGAAACTTCGTTTTATTTCAACAACCCAAAACAAAAAACAAAACAGTATATAAGGAAAACTTACGGCCGTAGACAAGGCCAAAGGTAGAACAAAGCAGAAGAACAGAAGCTCCCAGTGTAAACGACATCTTTGTGCAAGTTTTTCAAATCTCTGAAAAATAAAAAGGAAACGAAATTAATTAGAGGAGTTTCTGAACTTTTTTAAATTGATAAAAGTAAAGATCAATACTTGAACGTTCATTGGTCCAAACCCATAAATTTGGGTGGCTACTAATTTTGTCTATGACAAAGACATCATGCATGCCACTTCAGACCACGCACCACACATTTTGTACTTTGAACCCGCGTCACATTTTATACTTTGAACCCTCTGTGTTTGCATTTCAAACAGAAATAATCTTAATCGTCTTTTAATAGCAGACGGTCGCCTTTGGGAGCACTTCACTCGCTTGTATCGAGGATGATGGTAACCAGTAGTACTCTTCGAAATGGAAGGATGTTCAAGACACTGGAAAGTGTGTACGGGAAATTAGTTTTGAAAATCGTGCTTGGAGATGCACGAGAATAACACTGTCTAATGCAACAGGAACCTTACTTAGAGAAGGAAAATGGGTTGCATTAGGTGGAGCTCATAAAAGGACATCATAAAAATCATTGAATGGAAAATTCTCGAGCGAGATACTCTATGATGGAACTTAGAACCTCGCTTAAAGTTTTGAGTACGGCAGGTACATAATCTATGCTCGTACCTTTATTGTGTATTTTTCATACATAGGAATCGTCTTGAGAGAGAAATATAGAAACAATTTTTCATATTTGACAACTTTCGATAATCACCCCGCGTCTCTTAAGAATAATACTGTTTTTTTCATTTGTTTACTAACATAAGTACGCACATGCGGTCAAGTCAGTCAAGTTGTTAGGGAAAAAAGATCTCTGACAGACGGGTGAAAGATCTCTGACAGACGGGTGATTTTAAATCAGTGATTTCGAATAGAAGTTAAATAAGCCTTTCTCAGTCATACATTCAGTGTAGTTGGTGAAGATCTTTCAAACATTATCAGGGTATGAATTGGTCCTCGTTTATGGGTGACCTCAATTACACAATAGACCTTGTGCCAAAAGATTGTAGCGGTGATATTCCCTGCTTTTACTCTCAAATGACTGCATCAACACTTAACTCTGGCCGCTCTAATACACGGTCATAAATTAATGTGTATGATTGCTTACTGGTAGTTATATTCTTAGTCAAATTCCAACCGCTACCTTTATTTTCTTGTAGATTACTGTGTGCGTCATCACAAAATATTAAAAAGATTTGAAAGTCTGGGCACTGTACCAAGGTTAGTCAAAGCACTCTATCTTTTACAAGCAAAGTCAATTGACTCTTATATGGTTACATTTCGTTCTACGAGTTGTCATGGAATCTTTTAAGCAAGGAGCGTAAGGTCGAAGTATTTTTAGGCTCAAATGAGGTTTCAAGAGGTTAATCACAGAGAATTACAGTTTATTGAATTAAGACATCTATCCTAATACCTTTGAATGTTTGATTGCCACTAAAAATGAAACATTCACTTGGTATTTTGTTTGTTTGTGTTTCTTCTTCTGTTTTATGCTATGTTGATTTACTTTTCCATAGGTTCTGTTTTTGTTTGGTTTTTTCCTCGATTAATTTCAATAATCCTTGATATTTCAAGTGTATGCATTGTTTAAAATGTTTTGGTCTCAGTCGTTGACGTGAAATTTGTTCTTGTCTCGTACGTTAGTGAAGTCGTTTCGCCGTTTATGACATTTACGAAACGATGACTTCATTAATATATCATATTTGCATTATCTTTCCGGTGAAAGCCTATATCGCTGTTTCAGATTTACCGATTTTCTTGAATGGCGAATGAATATTGTTGCTGTCGTATTCCTTCAAATATTGTGGTTTTGACCACAACTCAGGTTAAAACACGTAATCGGAGGAAAACTCCAGTAATTTGACAGAAAAGTAAACACTCTTATTATCCATTGAAAATACATTTGTTAATTCATTTCTCACTAAGCTTGGACATGTGTATTACATAACTCGGATGTTTCATCTTTTCGTTAGCCAACACACAGGTTTATTTGCCTCTAGAAACCTCTCATCAGATTAAATCGGAAAACATTGTAATGCTATACAGCGAGAAATGCATACAATAAAAATGTATGGTTGCAGATAGCAACGAGATTCGAACTCAAGGTATTTATTTCCTTAATTGAATAAAAGGTCGTTCAACCTTTCTCCTTATTTAAAGAGAAGCGAATACCTCAATAAGCGAAGATAGTGAATTACAACATTTCAAAACGATGTGAACCTAGGACAGATAATTCTCTAACTTTTGGAAAAAAAAAACAAAGCAAAATATGGAAATGAAAAAATACAAAAAATGGTAAGATAAGGCCCCCCTACTCATAGCCTTGGGTACCGTTCTCCCCCTTCCGCACATCCCCCCCCCCTCCCAATCTGGTATCTTAATTTCATCGCGGAAGATTTTTTTATTCCGGTGTTTTGTGTTAAATGCTGAGATTAACGAACGAAACGTGACTGAAATCCACCGTGGGCAAGTGACACTTCGTTTTACTGTCAGCAGCAATGCCGGAGACTCCTTAGGGTCACTTACGGCATGTAGCATCAACAATTAAAAATGCGGGTGGTCCGCCATTTGAATCCCACAGGATTTTAATTACCGGATACTTCCTCGACACGAGATCCTGACTGACCACATTTTGATCGTTGCTCACGGCTGTATCTATTTCATTTCTTGTTTTTCTTGCCCTTTTCACATGGAATTTTGTTGTTGTATTCCTTACTGACTCAATACTACTCAGCAGTATGAAGGCTATTTATTTTGGCTCAGTATCATTTTCCGTTAAGCTTGTTATTTTGTCTTTGTTGACATTTAACAGTATCAATCTTGCCTGGTGGTCGCTCTGAATTGCAAGGAATGGCTGAAGACTCTTCTGAGACAAGCCATTTAACTCTTCCTACACAAACCATGTTTCCTTTTGCGTTTCGTCTGAAGATGCGTTTTACTGTTGTTTCGAAAGTTGTTTTGAATTTTATCGTTCAAATACAGCTATTTTTGGACGACATGACATTGACCTATAAGTATCTTAGATCGAAACATTGTTTGCAAAATATGTTGCTAAAATGATACATTTCGCAATTTGTTTTGGCATGTATGTATCGAATTCCCTTGAAGCACATTTGGAGCGACCGGATGTAGATAGAACGAAAGGAACATAGTGCTTAGAGTCCTCCATAAGGCTAACGGTCATCAAGTTTAGTTACAGAACAAAGTTTGATAAATTTTTGCTCCGAAGAGTTTACTATCAAGGCTTGATCTGAAAGAGACAAAATCTCTATTGTTCTCGTTCCGTTGTTGTTTGGGCAGCGCGCGAACGAACACGCGCACGCTCATAATATATTATATGTAGTATACATTTTTACAATCTTAAACAAAGACTTTATTTCTCGTGCGTGGCTAATCCTCAAAACTCCACAAAATATGTCCAAAGGCTGTAGTATAAGGTGCTCCATAGGAAAATGAGGATTGAGATTTCTTGATAAAAAAAATCGGAGAATATTCGAGGATGGAACAAATTCCTCCGAAGGAAACTGATCGCTCTGATCGTTCTTCTCGACTTTCTGTCGAGCTTTTATCATTACAGTAGCAGATGTCAAAGCACAGGATTCATTCAGCTGTTCAAAACGCAGGTCGTCTTTCAGGTCGAAAACAAAGGAGATAGTTGTGTTCGCTTAATGTACGTAATGTGATCGCCGAGGATGTAGGGATTTTTTTTGCCCTTATCTGACATTAAGGCCATAATTCTAATGGGAAAAAAAGACGACCTTTACATAACTTGGATATGTTCCATTCACGAAAGAGAAGAGAAATAGTTTTACGATGAAAGTGCTATTCATTGGCATCTAAAAAATATCTGGCCTGTCTCAGACACACTTCTTATCTCTCAGGGTCTTTGCAAGAAAAATACCGCGGTGATAATTTTTTCCTTTTACTTTTAAAAAGACTAAGAAGCTACATACAATTCATTTTTAAGCGTACTTTCGCTCTCGTGGATCATGTACTCTATAGTTTAACCAAAGACTAAAGAAGCAGCCCTAGATTAAATTATTGCATTGCTTTGTTGTGCGTGAGGTTATCCATGTGGGAGTATCGGGGGGCGTGGACAATAATCACGCAACGAATGTACTTGAATAACAAAGATAAACAGAATTACGATCAGATTGACTCATGCCGCAAATGCAAAATTATAAATTAAAGGTGTTTGTAGGTAAGAGAATCTACCTTTTCGAATTTCCTTTGCATTTAGACAAATAAAAAGAAGAACTAAAACGGCAACCGGCGATAAATTCTATTTTTCTCTTCGATGAAATAACGAAGGCCAAGAAACTCTTTAATACGTTTCCACACGTACTTTTGTTCTCGCGAAATAACGAAGGCCAAGAAACTCTTTTAATACGTTTCCACGCGTACTTTTGTTCTCGTGGACAATGTTCTCTAAAGCTAGACTAAAGACTAAAGCAACCGCCGTAGTTGAAGTCATTGCGTTGGTGTTGTTGTGCGTGAGGTAAGCCGTGTGGGAGGAACCGGGGGCGGGGACAGAATTTAATAACGCAACGAGCCATTTGAATTACGCAGATACACAGAATTACAGTCAGAATTAGTTCATACCACAAATTCAAGCTGTTAAAGGTCTTAAAATGTACTAATATCTTTGTTTTTCAATTTTCTTTGTGTTAAGACAAGTTTAGGGGAGAAGTAAATTGGCAATATACTCGATAAATACTCAAGAGCGTCATCTCAAAAACTCTTTCCACTCGCCGAAAAGCTCTCGCTGTAAAGTTAAATGTACAAGTCAAAAGGCAGGCATATCATCGGCAATGTGCATAGACACCTTTACGAGTTCCTTCAGAATTCATATTGGTTTGTAATGCACCGAGATCCAAAAGATGACATGTTGCTAAGGAGTGAATCTCTCGCTACGTTGTAAAAGGTTTTATGGTACGAATCAGTCTAGGAGAAGCGTAAAAGCCCCGCTTAAGCCAAAATTCAGTTTTAAAGTGATGGAATTTGAAGTCAGTAAGAGCTCACGTAATCATAAAGCTTTCTTGCTTCGATGTCAACAGCTGGTACACTCAAGTGCGACTTCCCTTTTAGATGCTCAATAATCAAGACATGCTAGACAGTTAGTACATTTCTACTTGTTTCTTTTAGGTACATCCTATGTTTTCATAGATAACATTGCACAGAATTGTAGTCTGGAGACAAGGTGTGTTCTGTTGAGCGTGATTCAAGATGATGTGGGAGGTGTTGGGGGCGGGGTCGACTCAGCTAGATTAATAGAACGTTTTCATTGTGCTTGTCATACACCTTTGAGTAGTCAAAAAATGTAACACTTGCGATTATTTAATCAGATTAGATTTGTGGTGTACATTCAGGTCTGGTAATCACGCGGATTTTCATTTCCCCTTATCTTTTCTGCCTGCATTTATCGGTGCATAAGTGGCAGTTCGAAACAATTAATTTGTGACATGAGATGGGACTTTTGAAATGTCGAATGAGTTTGAACACAAATCAGTTATTCAAAGCTCTTTATGTAGAAACTATTGCAAAAAATGACTTGAGGTAGTCCATGAGTTGAGGAATGATTACATCGATTTAGCCCACAAAATTTGCTATTTTTGCATTGCACTGCAATCATCTATTTGAACTTGCTCGTCGATACTTTGCCAAGGTTATACGTAGATGAGTCATGAACTTCTCAACTTAGCAGACGAACGTGGCGGATAAACAACCATTGCATCTGGCAGGAGAACGAAGAGTGAAAACTTTCTGAATGAAAAGGGGATACCTACTCATCCTACATTGTTGAAAAGACTGTAGAATGGAAGTCATAACTACTTGTATTCAAACCTGAACAGTGAAGCGTTAGTTTTGTAATTTTAGTCTTGTCTTGTCTTTTTGATCATTTATTCTGGAACATTCGGCATCTTCATCGAAAAACTCACATAACAATTGAGCTCAGAAGACCGGTCATTATGACTCGTCAGAAATCCAATTATCATACTTATGCTTTTATGCTTTTCGAGGGGTGAATCAACACTTTCACAGTGGGGTTAATGTTTTGAGCCACCGGAATACTGTTGAAATTCGAAACTTTTTTACAGCGCGCTCGCTGGGAAGGATGCCAATGTCAGCCTTTTAGAGGTCTTGGAATGGAGCTCAGTGAATTTTTGTTGAATGTGTCTGCAATGTCTGTTTTTATGTAACAACTAGACGTGTGTATGATGGAAATGCAGACACGATCTTTCGGGGTTCTGACCAAAAGCATATTTCAGGGTCTCTTGCTTTAGTGACATCCCCCAGGCACCTGGAGTATGTTCGCCATCGAGATAAACAATATTGCCATCAACGTCGCAGTTGTTTTTTCTTTTAATATCATTCCCATTATGGAAAAATGTATCATTTTCTAGTTATTGCGACAGGATTCTCGGTAGAGACCACAAGCTTTTTGAAAGGCCAGCTTGTAATCCACTTGCTACGTAATATAGTTCAAGTGAAGATTGAAGTGACTCTGAAATCAGCAACATGCTCGATTACTACAAGAAAAGTTGCGTAATATTTGATGTGGGACATAGTGTTTATTTGCCGTGCCCTTTCTTGTTCGTTCCAGTGCGTGAAAGGAAATAGTTTCCTGTTTTGACCAAATAATGACAACAAGATCTCTCATTTTGGTCTTGAAAGAATCATGGTTTCGGGATCGACTTTTTTAAACGTCTTGGAGATGATCTTCTTTGTAATCAAATTAAATTCTTTGTAAATGGAGTAGGAATTGCTTTGGTCCAGGCTTTAAAAAGGCACTCCCACGCGACGATCGCTGGTTAACAACTGATACAGGCGAAAAATAGATACCCATTTATTTTCAAAGTTTAGGAAAAAATCTACCCAGTTGTACGTCATATAACTGCAATTTTTGCGAGTCTACTTGTATCAAAAATAGAAGGGTCTCTTTTTCTCAAGCCATGACAATCGCATTTGATTTCTTTCGTGAGAATAGATTCAAGTCTACTTAAATCCACAAAAGACCTTTTTTCGTTATCCCTAGTCTGTCGAAAATTGAACCTTTGTTAATTTTGCATCGACTTTTGTTTCAGAGCCAATGAGGATACTGTACATTGACAATAGCTGGCGTTGTTGTTGTTGCGAGTGAATTTAATTGTTCTTGTTGGAGATTCTGGAGGTGTTGTTCCATTTTATTACAATAATGGTATCACGCTGGTACAGTAACCTTCGTTTGATGGTTAAAAATTGCCTCGATCTTCTCAAGTTCAAACCATTACTCAAAACAGTTTCCACGAAAATTTGTGCGCTTTTTTGGGTTAAAATCTTTTTTGTTTTACGAAACTGGGACACAAAAAGAATAAGGCGTGTGCAACGTGACGGGATCGTAACATGACTGGCTCAGTTGCCACGGAGCTCTGCGTTAACTTACAAACAAGGGTAGGGAAGAATATTTTGAAATTAGCAAACGCATACAACAAATAAACTAAACAATTACAAGATTGCTTACCCTTAACGTTAAAAGCTGCTTGTTCACTCAGAAGTCCAGAAGCTGAACGAAATTACCTGTTGTTGTTGTTGTTACATCCGAATTTATTCGTTTTGGAGGCGTAGCTGGAGGCGGGGTCATATCGTATTACCCAATGATAAGTCTCTAGTGACCGGTCCTCCATCGATTCCTCTTCCTTGACCATGATTGGTCATATTGAGTTCAATTACAAAATTCCAGTTTTTCTGGCAGGTTCTTGTTTTACTTATCAATGCCTCTTTGCTTTTTTTTGTCATCGATGATATTTCAAAGTTATTTTGCAAGTTAATACGCAAAATGTGCTGCTCGTCCGGAAACGGCGGCATCTCCGACACCGCACGCAAAGTCGCAGCTTTCCGCGAAATATTTGGGCTCGATAATAGGGCTTCTATAACACTCACATCTTTCATTTTTCGTGAGCACAAACACAACTATACTTTCGTTCCTTCTTTTGCATTTTCTTATGGCACATCGAGTAAATCTAGGGCGTTCCCTCACATTTAGAAGGCAATTCCCGCCAGGTATGATGCAAGGACCTCACAGAGAAGCTTTGTGGGGAATGAAAGAGGCTCGCTCGTGCTCAATTAAGGACCTCACAGAGAAGCTTTGTGGGGAATGAAATAGGCTCGCTCGTGCTGAATTTCTCCTCCTGTTTTTGCCAAATTTACAACAAGGAAAACTGGCATACATACAAAGAACTAACGAGAATTAACCTTCACCTTCTTTACTCATACTGCCCTTAACGATATTAGCAAGGAACGACCTTGACAAGATAGTAAATGTGATTTACTATCTACATGTGTCGAGTTCAAATGTTCGCCGCGCAATTTTACTTTCCATGGCCAAATTTCCCCGAGAAGAGCGCCAGAGATCCTCGATTTTCAGCGTTTCTTCTCGTAGTGGTGCACTATTTACCCCACGGGCGTGAAGTGGCCTTTCCCTCAACAGTCTCCCCCCCCGCTCCAGCTAATCTCCCACGTAATTAAGAGGGACAGGGGATGTTACAACCAGGAGTTGCCGCGTAAGGTTAATCTTAATGTTTGTTAGGAAGATCTGTGACAAAAAGTTAGCCTTCAACATAACTTTGGTTTTCAATGTTGCTCTTATTTATTTTATCCATTTCATATTACAGTATTATTGTTATCAGCGTTATGATTATATTTTCTTGCATATGTTGTCCGAAAAACTCAACCAGACGACGAAAGTGTGGGACGACAATTATATAGATATGCCAGAATTTTTCCCATTCTTGTCGAGAAACCCACCTCAGTGCGAACTGTCAAACCACTAATCCTGAAAATGTCGTCTGACAAGGTTAAAAAAACACGTGAGGGGAAATTACAAGTCAAAACAGGAAATCGAATAGATTAGTACAGATTACGAGCCCTAAACGTGTAAAACGAAGAATTTTAAAGTTATCAGACTTGGCTGAATACAATTTAGCGAAGTCAACGATAAATTAAAGAACAAATCAAAACCGAGGGAATGTAGATGGCAATAATCATTTGTGTCACTACTTTTTGTGGTGCAATGGTTATAACTGGTGGCCGATTTTTCTAAACCGTTACCTGAAAAAAACCCTTGGTACTTAAAGCTTCCTGAATCATGGACTTGAACTTGACTGAAGTGCATCACTACATAGAACACCCAGAGATTCTAACTAATGCGATGAAAAATTATAATTCGCCGCAAGATTAAACTTGCTGGTATCTGTTTCAGCACTAAAATCTCAAACGCTTACGTGTTTACTGGCCTCCCTTGAGAGAATTTAATCCGCAAACAGCTTGCACTGCACGAAAATCAGGAATGAAAATCGTCCTGATAAGTCGCTGATATTTCCTCGTGGATTTTTTTCCTTTCCGTAAGCAGAGTTATTTCAATAACAGCATTACTCAGCCTGTAATCTATCTACTGATTGTGCTCAGTTGTAATCAATTCTCAACTTTCGGTAATCGGTATCTTTTAGGGTCATAGTTAGACAAGTTACTTTGACTTTTGAACTCCTCTTATAACCGAAGTAAATAATAGAAAATCAGGTCGGAGAAAGTTTCAGACACTGGCACGCCTGTTTCCTTCGCCGAAGAGAGACTTTTAATCCACTTCATTGATTTGCCACCAATTTGTCGCAATATTTTTAAAAGGGATTGAGACGGAAGTTATGAATGTAATGTGTTGATATCTCCAAAACCTCCAGCATTTGCACGCAGATTGTTTTCCGATTATGAGGGTTCGCAACTACGTCCCAAAATGGAACGATTTTACTTTCCCTTTTGACAAGCTAATTAGTTTCCATTTATTTGGGGTTAACATGAATTTTGAAGATTACACTGAAGTTTTCTATTTACAAAGAAATGGTGAGATAATAAATCCCTCAGATAGGACATCTAAATTGCTTCAGGATTTAATTAGATTATCATTAATTTTTCAGACGACTGGCAAATTGACCGTCGTTTGCCAGTCTGTGAATTCTCCGCTCTGTAAGTGTTAAGGCGATTTAGATACTTGGCAATAATTAGATTAAGCAAAGGAAATTATGCGGTCTTTCTCCAAATCTTATCTTACACAGGTGAACTTCACGCCAAATATGACCATTGTCAATTGCCAATGATGTCAGCCGAGTGGCCTCAGCTTTAAGTAGTTTATCATTCCAGCGCGTCGCAATCGCTTGGTAAATTCCACAAACAAGTATAGACTTCCTCTCGTCAATTTTTTTGTCATCACCGGGGTTCGAAGGCTAACCATGCACAGAACTCTATAAACCTCGGTAAATAACCTTGCAAATAGGTTTTGTATTGACCTTGTTTCGAAAAAGCTTCTATTCAAAGGTTTTTCTATGATTGCGTGTATGTACAAGTCTAAGAAGACAAAGTTAAGTAGCTTTAGCTTCCTACCTCAAACACTTACGTCAACGGACGGTTGGAATCAATTTAAGCCGGAAATGTTCACATACTTGCGCGCTTTACTTTTGCCGTCAGCTTCCGAACCCTAACCCTGACCCTAAACCATACTTTTCAGTTCAATCATTCTTTGACTCAATGGAGATGCATGCTTTAACATGGAGATGCATGCTTTAACATGGAGATGCTTGTTTGAACATATCTTTTTAAAAGTCCACTCCGTAATTTGTGTCATTGACACGAAAAAAAAGCTGAGATCACAGATCAAAATTTCCTCTTAAAAAGCGGTTTTTAAAGTATTAAATGTTATAAAAACATTAAGCTTTCCGGCTGAACTAAGACCGCTGGGTGCGTTTCCGACAAGTGAATGCATGTAGATAAATAATTCTCTGCCGGAAAGATGTGCGGAGGAACTGGAATAAAATAGTTCAGGAATAGTGTGGTTGGAAAATAAAAACTGTTTGACCGCCTAAATCGAGAAGACTATATGACATGAGTAATAATCATGATGAATATTATTGACGCGCTTCCTTTGCGATCGCAATCATCTCGAATTTATTTAATAGCTTAAATCATGAAAACAATGTGACATGAATTATCATCATGGATAAAACTATTCACGCATTACTAAGGCAGTTGCCATCATCTCGAATACTGTAACACGCTGATTTTATCCCTGATACGTTTACATTTACCCCATCTTCGCCTGTATAATGTTGCACCTTGATTTTATGATTGCGCTACATTGAATGGAGGAGGGAGGCATTTTTATCACACTCCACTTAAGTTAAGACTCCATTTTAAAGTATTATTTTAAAAGTGGCTACGTGGATGTTATGTGTCCACTAATTTTGTCACTGATAGTTTTTTTAGCCGCTTATTAAACTGTCTGATACACGCACGTACGTCGTGCTTTGTTTCCGCATTGATTCTGGCCGAAATGTTCTCGCTCTTCATTTTTTTCTTTTGTTCTCCAGTTCAAGGTTGGTTTTTATTAACGTTTGGAAGTTAACTAAATTTTTTTCCCCTTCATTTTTGTTTCAAGCCATGAAAACATTTAATACTTCGTGACCTCCCTATACGGTGTATCTGCAACCCTTCGTGTCCCCTTCCCGCCCCTCCTACGCCTTTTCCCCGCCCCCGGATTTGCTTTGCTTCGCGTTTTCATTGGTCAATGAATTTCGCGCCGTCCATTCAACCAAACCTGACTTCCACGTTTTCCCGCGTATCAGGCTCTTGGCTCAATGGTCCCTTTGTTATTTTCTTATTGGAAATTTTCAATACTTCAGTTTTATTATTTCGACAAGCGTTAGAAATTTGCTCTGTTGAAAGCTGATATCAGTTTTAAATATCCCTTTTGTGTCCATTTTTATAAGTTTTTGTCGGAACCTCTCTCTTGAAGTTTGTAAAGATATATATGTTGTAATTGGCAGGTCTCATTGACACGATCTTGTACCATTTCACTATGCATTTCTGGCCAAATTATGTTTAGTACTTGTTCGATAACAGGCAGAACCGTGGTAAAAGTCCCTTTAATTGTTTTTGGTGCCCGTAAAGATACAAAACACCAGTACCATCCAGGACGCAGGTTCAAGTGTGTCAGACATAATAGACAATTACTCTCTAACGCCTCGATAAAAAACGTACCTTTGCTATTGAGACATCTCACAAAATTTAATTATCCTCGTGCGACAAAACAACGGGACGACACTAAGTTAATTAGATATAGTTAACAATATTTTCCTCTTGTCGGCGGAGTTTTTGTCTACACAAAGAAAACGCTGAAAAGCGCAGCGAGACTATCCCTTCAAGCTTGTCAACAATCTTCCATTCATGGTTGCCATATGTTAGGAAAACGCCAGAGAAGAATTTCTTTTGGCCAGGGATATTCTTTTTGTGTCTGGGAAAATTTTATCTTCAACAGATGTCAGGGAAAAGTGAAACGTTGAGTAAATATGAACTAACTCAGCTTTTGTCGGCCCTCATCGTGATGAAAGATGCTGATTATTACCTTAATAACTGGTTGAAAAGGATTGTTGTGAGGCTAGGATGGCTGGAAGCCAATATCAGGAAAAATGTCAGCGGGTCAGGGAAATTTTTTCAGAGTCAAAAACTTATAGTTGTGACAAACATGCTATTTAGAACAACAAAGCAACCTACAATAATGAAAATAATTAAGTGCAAGGTTTTTCTTCAGAACAAATTTATGAAATTTTTATCTTCTCTTTGAATAGTAATGAGTTGTATGTCAAAATAGGATGAATGACTCGTGAAATTCCGATCAATGGTGAACCCCGCGCATAAAAAGCTCTGCCTTTGCACCAATGCTGTTAATTTGCACAAAATGAGCGTCTTCGGAAAAGAAACGAGTACAAATTTTCTACTTCATTTTATGTTGAATAGAATATCGAATGGATAAGATATACCTTGGTTATTTGGATTAAACTAATCCTATTCGTGTACCTCTTTTTTTTTTTTTTTTTTTTTTTTTTTTTTTTGATAACCTCTCTCCCTTAATTAGTTCCAATTTACAGAGGCTCTGTGTCCAGCAAATCAAATAGAAAGCGATTAAAAACAGTCTTATCGGTTACACAGTGGAGAGAGTTGAGCCCTAAGCGATGAAGAACATTTTAATCTTCCTGAGGCCTGTATCTCGAAAGAACTGTAACTTATAGGGCCTGAAAAACTGATTTTCGTTATGGATTGGGATAGTGATAGTTTTAAAATTCAAACAATAAAAAGGTCATGTAACAAGACAGAAGGCACAATGAACATAATGAGCAAAGAGCCGCGATATTATTCCTTACAATTTCATCTAAATATTAACATCGGGCCTGGCCGTAAAGTTACTCGTACTTTCGAGAAACGGGCCCCTCAAGGAAATATTTTTCGATCGTTAATTTATCCCAGAACTCCAAGCGGTTCTCCTGTCAGTTTCTTGTCAGTTTGCTGTTATCTGTTCTCACTTGTGAGGGAGATGAGGCCTAAATGCTATGCTAATATAACATTCCAACCATACGTTTTATAAACCCGTTTAAATATGTCATACCACCATAGAAAATGATCGGAAATATCTTGTTATTGACAGATGCCACTCAAAGAATACAAAATGACATCAATATGGCTGAGTGGATTTGCAGCAAACATCAGTAGTCCTTATTCCACAACCTCAGATCGGATAACATTTCATGGAGGTTCACTAGGAGACCTGAAAGACGAGCTTCTTTGAAAATGCCCCTAGTTGCTGCAGGGGAACTGTCTGATGACACTCTGCTGACAATTGAAATAACCGTTGCTAATGACGTCAACATTGGTGAAGCGATCGAGAGTGACATCGTTTATGGCATTTCAGATGAAACCAATCTCATTGGAATTGAAATGTACTACAGTTCTTAAAAATGAAACCTTCTTGAGGAGAAAAAAGCAAGTCTTGATAAATAAATTATTCATTAATTGTGGTGTCAAGAGTGGTGGCAGATTTTTTACATATAAATGGGAATTTCGAACAAGGTGAGGGTAACCTTGATTGCATGGGACAACGAAACACAATGGTTATTTGCTGAATAAAGAAAATAGCAGTGAAATCTCTTAAGTGACTCTTCCTATGGATCTTTGTGTTCCTACTCAGGTCAAAGACACGTTCAACTCAAAACAGTTCATTACAGCTATTATCTTATGACTGTAGTGTTTCAAATCTCGTCATTATCTTTAGTGAGTCTTGGGAAACCCGATACTTCATCTCAACCAATCAGATTCAACCTTCCTCCAATCGGACTGGGTCACTCACGTTTTCCCGCGCTTTTGGTAGTGTGCTTATATCCTCTACGAGCTCTCATTGGGGACCCTGTGGTATTTCATTCTGGCTCGAGTGGCTGTTGTGTTTTGTTTTGTTCTTTTTTTTAAGGCTTTCGATCTTTTTTTTTTTTTTTTTTTGACGCTCAATGACAAGGTTTCCATCCTCTGCTTAGAGGATTATCAATCTTTTTTAATGGAAAAACACTAAATTTACGCGGACGGCCTCTCGTGGTATTTGTTGGAAAATGCACAGGTAGCATAAGTTCGCAGAATGAGCCTCCGTGAATATGCGTATACGTTTACGTTGCGTGATGGGCGAAATGTAAGAATTTGTATGGAAATAAACGATGCCAGCACTTTCAACCTAAAAATCTGAATAAAAACAAACTTATCTAGCTTAAGTAGTTGTTCCTTTACATCATATCAGTTTTCTGAGCTAACTTAGGGCCATTTAGATCAGCTTTTGTTCATCTACTTTTCCCTCTATGTAATCCTTTCCTGAGGTTAGACACTGTACAACGCCTGCCAAACGAATGCACTGGAAACACAACACTGTAAATTCACTTAGTTGAAGTAAATGAAATTGACTTCTTCCTCTGGAGTGCTTGAAAGCCTTTAATTCAACAGCTCGAAGACAAAAAAGAAACCAAATTTTCGGAGCAGATGTTTCATATCAGTTGAGTAATAGCGGAAATTTGTGTGCATTTCCTTTTAATTACACCCACATGGCAAGGATCGAAGCGTGTTGAATTTGACTATAGCTTCAAGCCTACCCATTGGTAAATACAATTATAAGACTTGCCAGCTGTTTGTAATGTGTGGTTGGGAATTGTTCACATCTTAAATTTATCATCCAGAGAGTTTCCAGCCATTCTTCATAGGCAAGGTAAGGACTGTAAGGCTTCACGATATCATTTGAAAGGAAAACTCTTACTCGTCCAACGTTATCAACAGTCAAAATCAAGGTAATTTGGTATTATCAGCTGAATTGATTACGTAAATTGGCCACCGTAAAGAGTTTCAAAGCTTACTTTACGAGCGCTAACCCTTCGTAGAGTGAACGACTAAGAGCTAACGCTAGAAACGTCGGCTTTGAAACTCTTTACAGTGGCCAATTTACGCTATCAACTCATTTAATAAAACCAAATTACCTTGCTATACTCTCCCACCGACGCAGCACCACAGTTTCTTTAGAAACTTTCCCTCTTTACTGAAACCAAGCTATTACCCATAGAAGTCTAAGAGGCCGATTAAAAAACCGTGAAATTTACAGTTACTTGGCTGGTACCAATAGAAATCACCTCCCATTTTCCCTTTTTCCCATCTTTTTCTTTATTTAGTTCTTTTACGCTGCAAAATGTCATTTGCTTTGCTGGCGAGGGAAGGGAATTTTTCTGAAACCTCTGTTTCCGTTGTGAGAGTAATCACCTCGCTGGATAAAAATTGAGACCACATGACAGGCGAATTGAGAATTCTTCAAACTGTTAAATGCAAATTTCTCAGATAAAAATTTCCCGTCATTCTGCATGTTGATTCAGTTTTGTCTTCTCGTCATGTATGTTGTCATTTTGCAATAATGGATGGAACACCCAAGCCCTAATGTAAAGCAAGTGGCCTTCATGCCAAACAAATTCTCACCTACCGCTGGGAAGCGGCAAATGAAGTGCAGTTGTATATCGTATCAGTGTGATATGAGTTGCCTGTTAAGTTGATTTGATTTAGTAAAAGTTCTGTCTCAGTCCAGTATGCATAAATACGGAGAACGTTCAAATTATTTAGAGCGATATAAAGATTAGAGAGCATAATTTTATTCATTTACAGCTGAGTCTGTTAGGAAAAGCTGTCATCCTAAGATGCCAGAACAACCTGGAAAGCTGAAAACAGCTGCTGTGAATTCGATTGTTTTAGTAAAGAACAACGCTTGTCAGGTTTTTCCATGTAAACAGAAATAGTTCGTTATCCAGTTCTGGTGAAGCGGGCAACTGTGAAAATTAAGACTACATCGTTCTTCCATAAGGCAAATCCTCGAAGGTAAATGCGTCCTAAATGTTTCTTTTCTTTTCCGTTTTCGACTGAGTAATTAGAGAACTATTTGAAGCTAGATAATTAATGATTGGTAACTAGTCAATCTATGATGTAAGTTTGAACAACAAATCATCTGGACTTAAAGCAGAATTCTCAGTACTTCTATGTGCTACGTGGGCTTGCTTGAAATTTCATCGACAACCTTTCTTGAGAACAATCAGTCTTCTCCCCTTATGCAAAATTTCCTGAGGTAAGTTTAGCGCCGGTTTTCCATGAAACTACATCCCAGGAAATTTTGAATGGTGACACCTCTGCTTTGTAAACAGCCGACCTTCCCTTAAGGCTTGCATCGCAACTGCAGTGCCTGCAATACGAATTGAAGGACACTCTTTGCGCAAAAGGACGGCTGCTATACGGAACTTTTTTTTTTCTTTCTGCCAGAAATCATGTTCTGTTCGACTAAACCCGGATTTTGTCGCTTTGGACTTTGAACGTCATGTTTGGCATGAGTAGAAAATGATAACTTATCTCAAACTCGGTCCCTAATTAATTTTTTGATGTTACGAAAACACTCGATTCAACTGTTTTAAGAAAAAACAAATACTTTGATGGAAGAAACGACAGTTCATAACCGTGGTTGTCATTCAAACACAGCCTTTAATATGTCTAAAGTTATGATAATTTTTCTAAGACCGCATAATTTTAAAAGCTAAGTTCGAGGCCTCACGTCCGCATGAACACGAAATTCTACGCCAAAAAAAAAGGAAGCATTGAACATAGTATCTTCTAAATCAAAAAGTTACTACTTTCTGAACTTATTTTAACGACTAAGCTAATTTAAAATCAGGAGAGAAAAAAGAAGGCTGCTTTACAACGGAACATTCAGTACAAGTGTACAGAGATACGACATTCTCCTAAGTAACTGTAGGTAGGAGAGTTTCTTTATAATTTCAAGTTATGAATAAGGATGGAAAGGAAAAGCACAGATACAAACGTGCGTCATAGGACCTTCGTTTTAGAGGGATTTTATGCGTCGCTAAGTACTTTTAATATGCGAACTTTGATGTACACGGAATTGGGCTTGTTTACAGCCAATTGCAAAAAAGCTTATGCTGAGTAGTACGACCAACCGAGAAAAGACGCAATAGTTATGTTCTAAGTCTTTTATTAGTACAGTTTGAAATAAGAGAAATTGAGTCATAAAAATGGAAATTTTTTCACCAGCAAGGCTAAACCGTCTGAATTTTCTTCTCTTGCAATGACTGATATCTGTTCGAAGACTTTAGACCTTCATGTTAGGGACTTATCATAATTTATCGACATTGTAATTTTTTCTTTTGGGGAGGTGGGGGGTTGGAGATCACATGGTTTAGAGGGGGGGAATGGAAGGGGATAAGTCGTCGTTAACAGAGTATAAAGCGGGGACTACTTAGAATTGACTGCCAATTAACTGCCGATAAGGGAAGGGGGGGTGGGGAGATTATGAGAATATTTACAAAGCCTTATAAGAGTGTCTCAATTAGTTAACCGTCAGCCGTTTGGCCTAAAAATTTACAAATTTTCACCCTTAGTCTGAAAAAAGTTAGCGGTAAGTTTTTTTTTTCTTTTAATCACAAAGGAACAAAATTAACTATTAGCCATAAAATGACCAAATGATGGCGTTGGCCGTAAAGGCCATCATCCCTTTGATACTCTGTTATAGGGGAGATCAGGTAGACACAATATTCACAGAAACAAATTTGCATATCCAGACTTAAGTGGAAATTAAAAACTGATAAGATATCAATTATTGACGTATTTCGTAATGGTTACCATGAATAAAGTTTGAGTTCATTAAATGACAAGGAAGAAAGTTTCCGGTAAACACTTAAAAATCCATCTACAGAATTGCGTTGTCAATCCCTGAAGTGTTATACAAGTCTTAATAACTCCCCGGCAATATCAACGTTCAGTTTATACTACACAAGTAAATAACACATTTTGCCCGTACTGATTGGAAATTTCGGAAGTGATTACCAAGTACTGTTCACTTCTGAGAGGCCGAAGAGACAAAATCACGCGTCGACATATTAACTTTCAAATTGATTTTTTGTACATTGATAAAAAGAAACTTTTTTTTTTCGGTTTCTGTGTGGTATTTACTACTGTGTGTGCATATAAATGCAACTCCACTTCGGAGAATAACCGTCAACTGCTGAAACAAGATAAACAATAAAACAATTTTATCGCTTTTCGCCGTTGACACGATCTCAGTCTCAAGCCTTCGTTTGAGTGCGATGAAACGATTTTTTTTTTGGTGTTTTTTTTTTCAGGTACCTTAGTGAAATTAGCAATGGTGGGCGTCCTGTGGTTTCTTGTCATATTAGTTGATACAAGCAAGTCTCTAACATGTAGTGAACCTGTGAGATCTGTGACAGGAAAGTATCTTAGAGGTCATGTGACTTCAAATTCAAGTACCAGTAGTGTTGGTGACTGTATGCAGCAGTGCATTAGTGTTCCGCAATGTAAAAGCATCAACTTCCGGTTTAAGGACTTATTCTGTGAACTGAACGACGCTTGTAGATATACGCACCCATGGGACTACATTTCCAGAGAGGAACACGCGTACAGTGACATCCATCCTGATAAGGTATAATTGGACAAAAGAATTATCTCCTTCAAATGTGATCTTCATGAATTTTATGCTAAGTCTTGAAAATGAAATATTCTGATAAGTAATCTTCATTAATCCGATTTGTTGCAAACAGGAACCATTTCGGAACCTGCACTTAAATATGACGCCTTCATGGCTTCGAGCCCACGCTTCTTTCATTTATAGCAATAGCTCTCATTCCGCAACTGCTGATCAGATAACATTCAACGCAGGCTCTTTAAAAAACGCGGCCCTTTTAAAAGTTGCTTTGGTGGCTGATGGCCTGTTGACAGAAGGAACTCCGCTGACCGTTGAAATTACTGTAGCAGTCAACGCAACTTATGGGCAGACAGATGACAGTGACCTCAGGCTCGGTGTATCGGACGGAAGCAAATTCATCGGGTTTGAAATACCAGATAAAAGTAATTACCAAGCCCTTGCTCCTTGTTATGGAATACAAGCGAAGTCTGGTAGCTCTCTGAGTAAAATAAGAGTTATAGCTAAGAAAGCTTCCAATTCACAGCCAAGCTTCTACCCAGGAATGTTTTTCCTCACAATAAAGCCAGATCAAAAACGAGGCTCTTGCCTCATTACGCCTGCGCATGACGGGAGCTTTAATAAAACAGTTGAATATAGTGAGCAGTTGTTGGTCAGTCAAGGACTTGCTTTTGAAGTGTATAAATCGGACGAAAAAGAAAAAGCTGGTATCAAATATGTCGAGGTCAGAATAAGTAGAAACTGAAACAGCTATGAAAAAAGCCAAAAAGAGTTTGAAAAAGAATCAAGCTCGTAAACTGAAGCCTGGACCACATTAGCAACACATTTTCACTCACACTTGCTTTTTTGTTTCGACCTCAATGTTCAACAAAAATCGAAAACTATAAGCAGAGCCAGTCTATGTTAAATGGCTTATATACAACTTTTGAACCATCAAACGTACATAATTTGAGAAGTCACGAAGTGTCTTTCATTGCCAGTGATATAATTGTCGTTTTAAGTTTTTAAGAATGGATACATTGTTTATTGTTTTCACCATCTGAGAAAGATCAAATTCATTTATGGCCCAACAGCTATTAGAGGCTTGAACACTATAAAAAGAACTTGAAAAAGACCACTTGCTACCACAAACTGCTATTGCCTAACAATTAAACTCCCAAGATCTAATTGGTAATTCTCCCCTCTAGCTGCTACACATATCCTTGTAAATTAGTCACGAGAATTTGGTGTTAGATCAAGACAATAATGTAAGGATAATATGGGGAGAAGTTTCATGTTAATCACTTCTAGGAGTTAAAGGGTTAAATGAAGACTGCTTAGAGTGCACTCCAGCTAAGAACCTATGAGTAGCGCCTGGCCGAAACAATTTTGCATGTGCGAGCTATTGAAGGCTCCATATACCTATAATAAAATGCAAGCATAAGTCTCCTTTAGAAGCGCACGTCTAATACCCCATTCACACCAGCAAAACATGTTTTGTTAAACTGGTTTTCATTGAATGAAAATTATAAACAGAGCACTGAAAAACTTGATTTTCCATTGGATTCAAGTACTTGCTAACTTGCATTTCCAATGTGCTACATTCAAGTCAAAAATATTCGGTTAAATAGTTTCTAAAAAGGAAAAAAAAATTAAACTGTGTTTAACAAAACAACTTTTAAACATGTTTAAGCTTTGGTGTGAATGCGGCATAAGTCTTATCTAGAATAACGCGAATTTTAATAAATATGAATAAATGAATAAATAATTCGTTTAGAACAATGTAACCTTCTTCAAATCCAATCTTCACCTTGAATTATCAAGTCCAATTGTCTTGAATTTTCAATTTATTTTATGATGGCAGTTTGAAAGCAACCATTGAGTGCAATGAAGGTCATAAAGCACAGTCGACATAACATTCAAATCCCTTTTCGAATGAGGTCGTTCAAGCTGTTTAAAGAATGTAAATCAACAACTGTGATCGTTAATTTGCATTTCCATTTATAAATCGTTTACATAATATTGTTTTATTTACACCAACCGCTGGCTGTGGTTGAAAGCATTTTACGAATTAAAACGCCAATATCGTCGACAGCAATACGGAGATGAGACAATTTTAAATACCCACTTGGCCATAATGGAAGAGAATCCGCGCGAAAATGAAAAAACATCCGAAGAAACGAAAGGAAAATCCAGCCTTCGTGAACGTTTCAAGATGTTTGGATGCACGCTTGAGTTATTTTATTACAAGGTTGTGTTCTTCGTCTCTTATGGCGCTTTCGGTTGTTTAATGACTTTCCTTCCCTTGTACTTCAAGCAACTAGGTTTGACTGCTGGTCAGACAGGAGTACTTATCGGAGTGCGCCCTCTTTGTCAGGCCGTAGGAGCACCCCTATGGGGAGTCCTTGCCGACAAATACAAACGACGGAAAGCCATTCTTCTTATCGGAGCTACGGCTTGGTTGGTCAAGAATATGTTAATTTTGGCTGTTCCTTCGAGTCACCAAGATTGTGTTGCACTCGCTGAAGGCAAATCCCATTTCGCACAGACAAACATTAAGCTGGATTCTCGAGTGAATTCCATCGACTTAAATTCCACTTTGCCCACCGATTTAACGCAGACAGGTACGCCAACTCCAGCTCTTGATTACTTAATACAAGTAGACGAAGCAAAGCTCTGGAAGTTTTTTTACATACTTCTCGGTATCGTGGTCGTCGGGGAGATGTTTGGCTCTATCCTCCACCCTCTTTTGGATGGTTGTGCTGTGGACTACCTCGGCGACGAGAGAAAGTCCTACGGCCGCCTGCGTACATGGGGTTCCGTAGGAATGGTGGTAACTAATTTGCTCGTTGGCCTCGTAATAAATCACTACACTTACGAGTACTGTGGCGAAATACACAAACGTTACTCCATCGCCTTTTACTTTTTCGCCGCGTTCATGGTTATTACGATGATCTTTTTAGTCTTGGTTAAAATCGTCTACTCCGATGGACCGAAGGAGGTATCGTTATCGGCCATCAAGGACCTATTTGATTCTCGTGTAAAATTTTCATTTTGGCTCGCTGCAATTGCCCTCGGAATAAGCGATGGATTTCAGGGGGATTTCAATTCATGGTTCCTTGACGATCTCAAAGCCACTTCCTTCGAGGTTGGTTTAGCTGCATCCTTACACTTCGTCTTCAGTGCCCTGTGCTTCTTCTTCGCCAACTACATGCTGGAACGTTTTGGTTATTTCATGACAATTGCTGGAGGAGTTGCTCTGTACGCAATCTTGTTCATCTGCTTTTCCTTCGCTCAAAGCCCATGGGTTGCAATTGTGTACTACGTTATCATCGGGGGAGTGTTTGCTGTGTTCTGGACAGCCTGTGTGGCCTATGTTGGATCCATCGCCTCTCCTCTCGCTATCGGAGCCGCTGCTCAAGGTAAACAAAATCTCAGACAAAGAAATTCCAATTAAGAGTCCCACGCTCTTCAGGATCGCAGTTTATGTTCTCTTTTTATGATCTTCGATAGGTCCATATCTCTGGAGACACAAAAGCTAAAACGAATCGTTCCTTGTCACTCGCGTTTTCGTGCGCTTGAAGGTGCTTGCATATGTTGATCCTTAATTACTGTTGATTAATTTCGATCGCTTTTTGTAATTTTTGAAAGGAGTTGTTTGTTTTTTTCCCTGCCCCAAAATTTTTCCTCCGGTTTTTTCTCCCTTCTAATATTCGACGCTCAAAATTCTCTCTCACCTCAACTTCTGTGTTGAAAAATTGTAAACGAAAAGCAATAATGCCCTTGCAAATATGCAACTGCTATAGTTCAAGTCAATCTATTAAATTCAATGAGAGTTTTGAGTTTTCAATAGTGTTCATCGGCCTGGAAGAGCGGCTTTTTTCCTGCGTCAGCCTTTCTTGAAAATAGAGGGGGCAATTTTATAAAGAAACTGAGGTGCTGCGTCGGTGAGAGTATAGCGGGTAATTTAGTATTAACAACTGAGTTGAAAACGTAAATTGGCCACCGTAAAAAGTTAAAAGGCTGACGTTTCGAGCGTTAGCCCTTCGTCAGAGCGATTGGCGAGGGGCTAACGCTCAAAACGTCAGCCTTTTAACTCTTTACGGTGGCCAATTTACGTTTTCAACTCAGTTGTTAACACTAAATTACTTGAAAATACTTTTGCGAGATACCACTTTCTTCCCACAGGAATCCTAAACGGACTCTTTGTTGGTGTTGGAATCGGCGGGGGAACCATCTTGGGCGGATTGTTGGTGGGCTGGATTGGAATGCGTGCAGCATACAGAGTGTTTGCGTTTTTCCTTGCTCTGATTTTAATGCTGTTTCTTGGCTTGCAATGGTCAGGAAGACAAGAAAATAGCGGAGAATCAACGTCATCCTACCAACCTGTGCCGAATCAGCCAGATGATCAAGAGGAATAAAGAAGTTTTATTCGCGTCTTCCTGGTTTCCTATGATCGAAGCGACCATACGAGAAGAGAAATTTCATTGGCAGAATCCGAACTCTGAAAGTGTGGTTTAGAATTTAAATTGGTTCAATTTTAAGCCGTTTTCTCAAAATTATAATCGAGGTTGTCATGGGTGTCGCTCCTTGTTGTTCAAGGAATATATAAAAAACTTTATTTACATCTCATGATTTTTAAAGTTGGATAGATAAAAACTAAACTTTATTCGACAAAGTTTATAAAAATAACTATAAAATATGTTTAATAAATCCAGCTCTAGGAGTACATCTGCAAATATACAGCCTACCTATAAAGTCAAACGGAAGCAATTGAGCTGTTTAGATTTCAACTAGCAAAATATTATCATCCGTTGGTCGTTTTGAGTTAGCAATATGTCGTTGTAAATAAATTATTAAAATCCAAAGGACTCCCATTCGATGTATTACAAAGCCTGTCATTGACCTTCCGTTGCTTCCCTGAATATTCTGATTGCTATCAAATGATCAATACCACTCAGACATCCGGCGTTCGAAAACTATCTCAGTTCCCCATTGCTGACGGCACGTTCGTAAAAATAATATGTAATGATGAAAGGGAAAGGCATTTTGACTTCGTATTGACTGGGGAAATCAGAGAAGAAAAATTTGCTTCTAGCCAGGATACGTTTAAACAAAACTTGCAGTGTTATCTTCCAAAACTATACGAAAAACCCAAAGCACATGCATCGATTCAGATCAGTCCAGCATTAAGGTTCCAAGTCAAGGATGCACCTGAAGAAGTGAAAGGAAGAATTTCTGGCTACAAATTCAAAGCAAGGGGATTAAAAAGAATGCCACGTGCACTTTAACCAGAAACACTTCCATTTACGTATCAAAAAATACGCCACCTGAGGCTAATATACATAAGAAAACAATATGACTAATTATAAAAATGCAACCTGTTGGGAAAACGTTTGAGGAAAATTGATGTTTACGTTAAGCAGAATTTGATTTTCAAAAATCACACTTTTTTGAACGTCGGATTTTCCATTTAACAGTTTTAAGATTGATAGTTTGTGTAGAAAAATGGAAATTTGTTTCAAAAGCGGGTCGCGAAATGTCGTTTTCTCAATTTTCATGGAGAAGGAACGCGGAGACAGTATTTTTTGTCGTATTTATTTGCTTAAACGACAAGCCACTCGTGCCCTATGCATCCTTCACACTCGAATGTTCAAGTGAAATGTTCGTTTTAAGGAAGCTATGAAATCCTCAAGCCTCATCGCATAGATCCACGGATACACTGCGGAGCTTGAAAAAAACAAAGAGACACATCAAATCCACGCACAGTTATAAAGTCTGCGACGGCAGCGGTCGTTTTTACCAATCTCTAGAATACTGACAGCACTCACCGGCGTAGACAGAAAAACAGCCACTAGCACAGCTATTGCCGTAGTAGGGATTGAAGTTTTTGTTAGCTTCCGAGCACTCTTTGTCTCGTAAGAAAACCGAGACGCTGTTCTCTGCGGCAGTGACTCTCCTCGACTCGTTATGCGCAGTTTTCATAGTTTCCCATAGCGGTAGAAAACGATCACTATGGGGAAAAGTCCTGTAAGCGTCCCAAAGGAAACTCACAGTTTTGGCAGGTCTTCATTGTCTAGGGAAAAGGAAATTGCGTTCAGTGTAAAGCCGAAAAACCACACGCTTGTGATTGCGATGCAAGTGCGCTTTACAGTACCGCAAGGAATGGATAATATCGATATAGCCATATATACATTACATACCAGCCTAGCGGAAGCATTCAGAACTCTCTGAATTTTCGCAACCTGGATGTTTGGCAGTCCATGCAATAGGCTATTGTAATAGTCGATGCGGGACGTTACGAAAGCATAGACTAACGTCTCCGTTACTTAGTCGTACACAGCCATTCAGTTATCAAGACTTTAATATTAGGGTGTATTTTTAAAACGCGACACCCCTAACAGTAATCCAAGTTGATAAAATAAAGACTGGAAAGAAGATACTTTTAGCACATCTATTAACGTTGGAACAATTGTTAGCATATTTCCGATGGAAAGGCTGGGAGATATTATGAGATTTATTCATTAAAACTTGCTTGCATGATTTTGGCGTAGTGTTCATAGATTTTCAAAAGAATATAATTATCATTGAGCATTTCTTGGAAATTAAACGAAGAAAAGACATTATTCGTGATGATATGAGTCGAGGAATCACCATCCAGATACCCATAGCCTCCAGGTGAGCTAAAATACAAAACATCGACATCTCTTCACCGATTGATTTACACAACATATAGTATAGTGTCAAGGGGCTAATATGGATAATTTTCATAGGATAATTTTAGCTTACGCGACGATTAAATAAACCAGAGTTTTGTGTAAACGGGTCATGGCATTCCACGGTTTTCTGCACGGTCGTTTTCGTTCCAAGTGATTTATCCTCTACTAAACACTATTGTAACTCTTTTTAGTAATAAGCATTTACTGAATTAAGTTTCACATCTGTAAAAGGCTTTACTTGTCACAGTGTTCTTAAAAAGCAAAGTCGATTGCCCTGAATTGTTCCAGACAGGAGATGTTCAGATCTAAACCTCCACAATCGTACAAAACTGAACCATACATTCAGGAGACAGCTAAAGAAAGATGCTGAGGATTCATTGTGCTTTTCTGTTCTTTATCTCTTGTTCGAATTTCTTCATCAGTGGCCGTAACAACGTCAACCTTCATACCGTGACATTTACATGTCATGCAGTACACCCCACTCTGAACTACAACTCTCCTCAAGGCCTGCTTAAACTCCCTCGATCTTAAAAAGTAGATCCACGGATTCAACGCGGAACTGGCGAAAGCGAGAGTATCAACCCAGAACCATGTACTGGAGTCAATTCGGTGTTTTAAACATTCGTCTGACGTTAAAGCTTGAACAAAAGACAAAATACAAGATGGAAACCACAACACAAAGCATGCTCCGATGACTAGAGCCGCTGTCCAAGTGGCCTTCCGGTTTTTACGAATTTTAACCGCCTCTCGTCTGTCCACGATGTGTTCACAAGCAATTCTTCGCGCTTGCGCTGAAGCAGTTTTGTAGATATGGAAATAACAAAATGAGATTCCTGACAACGGTACGATAAACACCACGATATAAGAAACAAGCCACAACCTGGGAAGAGCATGAAATTCTGTAATAAACAGTCGTGGCAAAGGTACAATAAAAGAACAAACCCACACCAAACCTATAAAGCGTAAACATCTTTCGGTTGTCACGTAGCTTTCATATCGGAATACGGCAACTATGGCCAGATATCGATCGATGCTCACACAACATAAGTTGTATGTTGTAGCTGTCAGTGTTTGTAAGGTTACGACCGCTGCTGCAATGGTTAGAGGGTGCGAGTTGTCGTCGACAGCCATCCCCGCTTTAACAGCATAGAGCGGGTTCATAACCAAACCGACGAAAAAATCAGCAACGGCAAGCGATGCAATAAAAAAGTTCGAATTTGTTCGTAGGCCAGGAGTCTTGAAAATTGCCAAGAGTATCATCGAGTTACCAAAAATTGTCACTGCGCTCAAAATTGAATTTATAACGCACACTGGCAATAAATTGGATGAGTATTCAGTGTTTTCACCACACATTTCAGATACTTGAACCATTGAAATTTTCTTTATCGATAAATCCTGATCACTTCTGGATCCTTCATCTTGTTTTGTCGTTTATAAAATTGATCTGCTTCTCCATCCTGCCTCAGATCGTGTTTAAAAAAAATCACTTATTTGGTTTCCAGCTTCAATGCTTCAGAAATTCAATGAACAACTCGAAAGATAAGATTGACACAAATGGACGCGCTATCTCAGAAAGTTTTAAGTTAAAAGAGGTTTCTTTCATTGACTTTGACAGCTGTCCACCACGGTACCGGGAAACGGCAGCTAAGTAGTCATTTAGCGTACTCAGGTGTTTAAGACAGATCTTTTTCACGATATTATATTTGCTTAAGTGCCATCGTTTATTGCGAGAAACGAGTAATTTTCCTTACCAATATTGCTTGAAATTGTAAATTTATTTTCAAATTCAGAAGAGGAGATCGACGTCATGAATTAAGCGGTTTTGCAGCTGACGTAGGGATGAGTGGACTTCTTTGCGTGAGCTCCGAAGGGAGAATTTCATTTTTATTTGTGCTATGAAAGATAAATCAGACGGACAGCAAACGGATCATATTCAAATATACAAGTTCGGAGCTTCGTTTGTTTTTCTAGCTAGTCCATTCTCTTTTAACTGGAATTAAATAACCATAGTCTTACTAAAACATTTTCTCTCGTGCTAGCATCAAACTGTAAAAGAAACAGGGTCTAATTTAGAACTTTGGTCATTTAAAACACAGTCAGTTTTTATTGACAGAGTGGATGCAATGAGCACTCTATTTCCAATAGCAATTTTAAAATTACGATAAGTGTTCAGAAAAGGCAATTTGTTGCGAGGCAGCCTTGATCAATATTACTAATCTACTTGCGTACACTTGTTTGTATTGCTAGTCTTATTTGGGCTTACGCTATTTTTTCTAATAAGGTCGCGAGCGGATATTTAGTTTTTCTTGAATATGGGAGGACCTTTTCTTTTACTCATGAGGACTTCAAGCTACATGTAACTCCAAACAAACACACTTTTCATGCTACTCTGTTGAAATAAACTTGACAAGATATGATCCTGATCTTTCAACAGGCGGCCCAAAAATAATCTCTGAAAGCGTATCCGTCTCATTCGACTGGATTCGCTGTGACAATTAGGAAACGTGTGGCAGCTGAACGTAGTGGTGAATATAGATAATTCAGTTCAATTTTATCGCCCGAATCGATAATGTAAATTGGCCACCGAAAAGATTCTCTAGAGCTGACGTTTCGAGCTTTGGCCATTCGCCATTTGCTCTGACGATGGGCTAATGCTCGAAACATCACCTACAGAAACTCTTTACAGTGGCCAACTAACTTTATCAAGTCAGGGTTTCAGTTCATATGAGCGTGGTTGACCGGGCAGGCCCGGTTTCTGAGATCTTGGCACATCTCTAATCTATTTAAAAAGTCTAGACGTGTTCATATGAGCGGGTTGTCTGGATCGGTTCCCGATCTCAATTTTTAACGAGCGGGATCTCGGGAACCGAGCAGGAAATTTATACCATATGTACACTCGGTTACCGGGATGGAATTTTTTTTCAACTACGTATGTCACCGATTAGGCCACTTGCAGAGTGCGGCCTCAGACGACGTGGTCAAAAATGGCGGCAAGTGAGCAGATTTCTTCATCCGCCTCCAACTTTGCAGACAGTAGTTCCGCTTCCGCAACAAGGCGGCGCGGATGGCATCATGGTGCTTTGTCTTCTGTATTTTTCACAGCATAAGTATCCCATTTAGCTGCGTTATACAGCTACAAGAGCAGAAAAAGCTCAGAAAGGTGCGAAAATGATGACTTTGCGTTTCGCCGCCATGTTTGTTTTGTTTCTCAAATGTCGCGCCAAGAACTAATCCCCAGGATCTACGCGCGTTGTCTCGTTTTAGTAAGGGGGCTGAAATTTCTCTTATGAACACATCACAGCCAGGTCAACCAGGTTCGTGCTAACAGAGCCTCAGGTGACAAAACCAAATTGTCTTGAAATAAACCCTACTGACGCAGCACCACAGTTTCCCTAAAAGCTTATTCTCTTGAAAAGTCTTAAAAACCTAACATGAAAATGCAACTCATATTCCATTAAGAACTTAGGACATGTTTTTCGAAAGTTCTGGTAACCTTTTCTGCCCGACGCTGTATTTGAAATTCGAGCGCGAATCAATTTTGAGACACGAATCATATTTGATGCAATTCTAATTTTTCACTATTTTTTTTTTTTTTAAGTGTTTGATTTCTGTGTCAAAATGATGCACCAGAATCACCAAAGTAGCAGTTTCAAGCTAAAAGTCTCTAACGGCCGTTTGCGAGGGTTAATTCTACACTGATTCAGAGCTGCGTTCAAAGAAGTCAACTTTTCTCGGCATCTACGGGCTGTTGTTACAAATTCCTGACTTCTTTTAATTACACACACCTGAGGTTCCATTTCTATGACAAATCGTCTAAAACTAACTCGAAGGATAAAAAAACCGTCAGCATTTCTCGCATCCAACCGCCATCTTGTTACATCCACAGGGATCCCAATAATTAACAGCACCGCGAGATAACTCATTCACTCCGCGGCCAAAATTTCAGAGAACAGATATCATTTCTCCGGTCAAACGTTTGTTTCACCAGAATGCTCATGTCCAACTTTTGTTGTTTTCCTCGGGTTTCAGCTGTGCGAAATTTACGAAGCATCACATTGTTGTAGAGACATAACATGTGGAATACACAACGCATGATATACGCTGTGTCGCATGCATGAATAAGACGTTGAAATAAATACGAGTTCAACTTTTCGTCAAGAGAGCGTCAGTTGTGGTTGTCAACAGAGTCCAAATATGTTTTCACGGACAATAACAGCTATTGAAACGTTTTTTTAACCTCGTGACAATTCTGTAACACGGTAAGTGCGCTTAGTAACAACTAAATAGTTGGATGCGGGAATGCTTGTGTCTTTATGGGACTGACGAAAGGAACCGTTTCAGCGGAAGTAAAAGGTAAACAATGTAGTTAAACGGACGGGTTTGATTCTATTTCGTTTTGCTTTTTGACGGCAACAGCAATAGTACCTTTTTCCAACGGTATTGTTTGATATGAGGAAAAAAATTGAGTGGACTCGAACTTGACCTGCGACTAAAACTTGACTTGTGATACGATATAACTCTTCAACTTTGGATTTGGTATCCAGATGACACTCTCTTGAAAGTACCCAATATGTTTGTGCGAGCTGTTTCCATTTAAAATCAGTCATGTCAAAAATCCACCTTGGTAATCAGCCAAAAAAAGTGAAGAAAGCTTTTCTTAGAAACGAAAGAAAAGGGAAAAATTAATACGTTTAGTAGTCCCCTACGCCTGCCACCCCCCCCCCCTTCCCCTGCACCCGGATATTTATAATTGTGTAGGGGAAACAATTTCAAAGACAAAGCTTAAGACTAAGGGCCAAACGTTCCTAAAACATAGATCAGTAAGCTTTGTTACCCTTCCAAAAACATTTCAAAAATGAAGCACTTCATACAAAGTTGCAATTGATGTAAGCCCAAATTTATTACAACGTTAAAAATGGGAAAAACCGAAGTTTGAATCAAACGTATGACGGTACCATGAGGTTCCCATATGGTTAAAAATTACATACAACCTTTGTGGTCGAACATGTATCGCTGTAGATTGGGTTATCTCCATATATCATGGAGGTAAAGACAACTTTTTAATTCACCGCACATTTGGTAAAATTGCTTGGAGAATTTGAGTTGTAAGTCAACTGCACCCCTGAAATTATATGGATTTTTGTGTGTGTGTGTGTTCCGCTCATCGAAAACGTATCATATGGTGTAATGCCATAAGGACATGAAAATAAAAATGAAGTGTGTGCGAAATGGGAACTAGAAAGCTACACTTTCAATACAGAAAACTATTACGTGTCAATGCTAAATAACCTAGGAAGGAGCTTGTTTTTACAAGCAAAAAGAACTTCACGGCAAATGGAAAGTCAAAACGAAGAAAATGATTACATGAAATGAAACAGTGATCAAAACACTGTAATACGATGTTTGTTTATTTTTTTGTTTTTAACAACGAATAAAACGCTTTCAAATTTGGAGTAAGATCCAAGAAAAAACAACGCGACGATTCACTCAAAACTAAAAATATGAATAAATATGGTAGGTTTAGGTTTCAGTAGTAAAATCCAAATTTGTTCAAGCAATCACAAAACATGATTCACACCTGTTAATTCATGCGAAAGTATTTTTTTTCTTTTTTCAATCTGGACTACCTCACAACCGCTCATCACTAAAAATTCGAGAAAAGACTCGATAAAAAGCAAACCTCAGTTTCCTCAAATAAACAAGGAAAAAAATAAGCGAAGTTCAAAATCAAAATTGAGAGCTTCATTAATGATAACAAAACCGAAAGACCTTCTTTGTACTGTAGATAAACGAGTAAAGTTAGTGTTATAAATATTTAGGCAAAATAAGTCTTCAAAACCCTGCAAACGATCTCCAGTTGCAAACAACTTTTCAGTTAGATCTTAAAGCTCTCAGGCTACTAAAGCGATTGGTCACGATTAAGCTGTTGTTTCGTCTGCAAAAAAGCGACCTAGGCTGCTTGGAACGACATAATTAAAGTTACTAACTAAAAACTAAAAATCTACTGTTTTCAACTCGAATGAAATGCGTGTTTTATATATGTTGACATTTTCTCTCAGCAAGGGTAAGTCCTCAGATTGTTCCTGTTCTTTAGTAAAACTTCCTTGTTACGGAGTAACGGCCAGAGTACTTACGTCCGGTAGGGTACGATGTACGGCTATAGCCCGACCCTCCTGTGACAGAGGTACGCCCTGTAGTAGTGCGGTAAGTGGTGCCGCTGGTTCTGTACACGGATGGTTGACTGGAGTACGAAGAACGGTATACGGTCGATTTGGCAGACCCGGCACTTCCAACCTCAGCAGAATCTCCGTCGGCGACATTTGTGATCAGAATCGTCTTTGAGGTTGCGGCGACATCCTCACTGTTGTTAAAGTTTCCTTCAGCCCTTGCCAGGTCACTGTCAAGCGGAGCTGATGAGACGACAGCACTCTTGCGAATAACTTCGCTGCGTTCTCCCTCTACGGCGGATTTCATTGGCGTAGAGGTGGCACTGAATTCTAGACCATTAGTATCAGTGGACGTCTTCTTTACCGTGTAAGTTGACGTTGAACTGCTGAAAGTCGGGGAGTCGGCTGTTGAAGTAGTTCTGTAGCGACGCACCTCGTAGGTCGTCACTGGCTTGTACTCTGACTTCAAAACTTCCTTCAGTCGGAGCTCTGCTTTTTCATAGGCTTCATCGGCGACAAATACGTCTTTTTTTAAGTTTTCGATCTTCTTCTGCAAGCTTGCAATCTTCAGGCGCATATCACTGATAGCAGCATTCTTCTCTTCCACGGTCTTCTCGTAATACTCATTGGAAGACTTCAACTCCCTGTTGTCCTTCTCAAGCTTGTAGATGTATTCTTGCTTGTCGGCCATTCCACTGTTGATCTTGATCACCATCTCCTCTTCCAGTTTGCTCTTTGCAAGCACCAATATGTCATACTCTTCTTGAAGCTTTGAATATTTTGCTTTCAAGTTAAACAGCTCTTGTTCAACCTTCGGATTTTGAGCTGGAGTATCCTTTGCGATGCGCAGCTCACGTTTGAGCGACTCAATTTCAGAGCGCATGGAGATTGCCTCAGAACGCAATAACCCCAATGCAGCCTCTTTCTCCTTAATCTCGTCTCGGTACACTCGTACTTGATTGTCGATATGGATTGCCACTTCTCGCTCGTTCTTTGACCTGAGCTCAATAATCTGCTGGCGAAGACTGTCTCTCTCTTGGCAAGCAGCGTCGAATGAATGTTGCAGAGACACAAACTCGGCGCTACTACGAAGGACTGAGGGGCTAATTACCATCGATTCCTTCCTCACACGTTCCACTTCCATCTCGCTTCGCTGCTTCGTGGTGGCCAGCTCCCTCTTTAATCCTTCAATTTCTGCTCTCAGTGTCATAACCTCTGAGCGGAAGTTGTTCATGGCTACCTCCTTCTCTTTCATTTCCTCACGGTAGATCTTCACTTGACTTTCAATGTCTTGTTCTCCCTTTATTTTTATATCAATTACTTGTCCTCTAAGGCCATCACGCTCTTTACAAACTTCTTCGTATGTTCGTTGCAAAGAGATGTACTCTGCGCTACCGCGGATGTCGGGAAACCTCAGTGTGTTTACTTCTTTCTTCAAACGATCTATTTCAATCAGATAGGCTTCTTGATTTCCAAGATCTCTCTTCAAACTTTCAATTTCGCTCTTGAATGAGTAGCTCTCTACACGCATTTTCTCCATTGCTACTTCTTTCTCTCTTATCTCTTCTCGGTAGATCTTTACTTGGTTGTCAATTTCCTGTTCTCCCTTCATCTTAATATCAATCACTTGTCCTCTGAGTGCATCACGCTCTCTGCAAACTTCCTCGTACGTCTTCTGCAAGGATATATACTCTGCACTGCCACGGATATCTGGGAATCGCAAGATATTGACCTCCTTCTTCAGGCGCTCGATCTCAGCCAAGTACGCTTCTTGGTTACCGAGATCTCTCTTAAGTCCATCAATTTCGGCCTTGAATGTCAAGTTCTCCATTCGGATTTTTTCAAATGCCACTTCTTTTTCTCTGATTTCCTCTCGATAGATCTTCACTTTTCCTTCAAATTCCTGCTCTCCCTTCATCCTTATGTCTATAATTTGACCCCTCAATCCATCACGCTCCTTGCAAACCTCTTCATACGACTTCTGCAAGGAGATGTACTCTGCACTACCACGGATATCTGGAAATCGTAAGGTATTGACTTCCTTCTTTAGGTGATCAATCTCAATCAAGTAAGCCTCTTGGTTTCCGAGATCTCTTCTCAATCCTTCAATTTCGGCCTTGAATGTTATGTTCTCCATGCGGATTTTTTCAAATGCTACCTCTTTCTCTCTGATTTCCTCGCGGTAGATCTTCACTTTTTCTTCAAATTCCTGCTCTCCCTTCATCCTTATGTCTATAACTTGACCTCTCAAACCGTCACGCTCCTGACAAACCTCTTCGTACGACCTCTGTAGAGAAATGTATTCTGCGCTTCCACGGATGTCTGGGAATCGCAAGATATTGACCTCCTTCTTCAGGCGCTCGATCTCAGCCAAGTACGCTTCTTGGTTACCGAGATCTCTCTTTAGTCCATCAATTTCGGCCTTGAATGAATAGCTTTCAACGCGTATTTTTTCCATCGCGATTTCTTTCTCCCTGATCTCCTCACGATATATCTTCACTTGGTTGTCGAGGTCTTGCTCTCCTTTCAACCTTATGTCAATAACCTGACTTCTTAGTCCATCACGCTCTTTGCAGACTTCCTCGTATGTTTTCTGCAACGAAATGTACTCTGCACTACCACGAATGTCAGGAAAACGTAGTGTGTTCACCTCTTTCTTCAGGCGATCAATTTCCACTAGGTAAGCCTCTTGGCTGCCGAGGTCTCTCTTCAATCCTTCGACTTCGGCTCTGAATGACATGTTCTCTACACGTAATTTTTCAATCATTACCTCTTTCTCTCTTATTTCTTCGCGGTAGATCTTCATCTGGCTTTCAAGTTCCTGTTCTCCTTTCATCCTGATGTCTATAACTTGGCCTCGTATCCCATCTCTCTCTTTGCACACCTCTTCATATGATCTCTGTAACGAGATGTACTCTGCACTACCACGGATGTCTGGGAATCGCAATGTGTTCACTTCTTTCTTCAAGCTTTCAATTTCAACCAAATAAGCCTCTTGATTGCCAAGGCTTCTCTTCAAACCCTCAATTTCCGCTTTGAATGCCATGCACTCAGATCGAAGTCTGTCTATTACAATCTCTTTCTCTCTGATTTCTTCGCGATAGATTTTAACCTGGCCTTCCAGCTCTTGTTCTCCCTTTACTCTGATGTCCACTACTTGGCCTCGAAGCCCATCTCTTTCCTTACAGATCTCTTCGTATGATCGCTGTAGGGAGATGTACTCTGCGCTGCCACGAATGTCTGGAAACCTCAAAGTGTTCACTTCTTTCTTCAAGCTTTCAATTTCAACTAGATAGGCCTCTTGATTGCCAAGGCTTCTCTTCAAACCCTCAATGTCCGCCTTGAATGCCATGCACTCGGATCGAAGTCTGTCAATTGCAATCTCTTTCTCTCTTATCTCTTCACGATAGATTTTTACCTGGCCTTCAAGTTCTTGTTCTCCCTTTATTCTGATGTCCACCACTTGGCCCCGAAGTCCATCTCTTTCCTTACAGATCTCTTCGTATGATCGCTGTAGGGAGATGTACTCTGCGCTGCCACGAATGTCTGGAAACCTCAACGTATTCACTTCCATCTTTAAGCGATCAATTTCCACCAAATAAGCCTCTTGATTGCCAAGCTGCCTCTTCAAGCCATCAATTTCGGTTTGGTACTTGAGGTTTTCAGACTGCAGGCGACTGATAATTGTTTCTTTCTCACGTATTTCTGTTCGGTAGGTTTCGGTGCGGCTTTCTACTTGGACGATAAGATCTCTTTCGCTCTTAGACTTTATCTCGGAAATCTGTCCACGCAGAATATCTCTTTCCTTCCACATTTCTTCATATTGTTGCCTTAAAGAATCATATTCTGTCTTGCTAAACAAAGTAGTGCGTTCCCTCTTCAATCCGTCGACTTCCTCTATGAGAAGTCTGTTCTGCACCGAGAATCTCTCTATGGCCATCTCCTTCTCTTTAATTTCTTGCCGAAAACCATCAGTCTGGATCTGAATTTGAAGGGCCTTATCTTGCTCGTTCCTAGACTTGAAATCTTCGAACTGCCTCTGGATGTAATCTCGCTCTCTGCAGACATCTTCGTAAGATCGCTTTATGGACTCGAATTCTACAATTCGCTTGTTCATCGCACTGATCTCGGTCTTCAGACGATCAATCTCTGTCAAGTATCCTTCTATCATGAACTGTTTACTGTCTGCCTCCCTCTTGTACGTCTCAAGCTCTGATTGGAACTTCATACTTTCAGAACGGAAGTTACTGATCATGATTTCTTTCTCTCTGATCTCTTCTCGGTATATCTTAATCTGACTATCCACCTTTAGAGACATTTCTCGCTCGCTGTTTGATTTGAATTCAATGAACTCCAGTCGCAGGGCATCTCTTTCTTTCAGTATGTCATCGTACATCCTCCTCAACGAATCGTATTCCGAGCTCGAGACTGTGGTGGACTTGATTGTAATAATGTCGCCTTTATATCGTTCAATTTCTGCCAGGTAACCATCGATCAAGTGTTGTTTGCTCTCCACTTCTCGCTTAAACACATCCAAATTCATCTGGATTGACATCATTTCAGATCGAAGCTTAGCACATTCCATTTCCTTCTCTCTGATCTCTCTCTGGAATATGACAGTCTTGTTTTCCACCTGGATCAAGACATCGCGCTCAGCCTTGGACTTGAAAACTATCAGCTCTTCGCGTAGGGCATCCCTTTCTTTCCACATCTCATCGAATTGCAACTTTAACGACTCGTACTCATTCCTCTTGTAAAAGGTTGACATTTCTCTCTTCAGTCCTTCCAACTCGGCCCTTAGGGTTGTATTCTCAGAACGCATCCTGTCGATGGCAACCTCTTTCTCTCTGACATCCTGTTTGTAAGCTACCATATAGCTTTCCAGATGAGTAGTGATCTCGTTTTCACTTTGAGATTTATACTCCATCAGCTGATTTCGAACAAAGTCCCTCTCCTTGCAAACCTCGTCATAGGTTCTCTTTAGAGCCTCGTAGTCGCTACTGCTGGTCTTCAGGGTCACGATATCTTGGCGGAGGCGTTCAATTTCACCCAGGTATCCATCAGATACAGAGGACTTTCCACTAACCTCTCTCTTGAGCATTTCTAACTCGCTCTTGGTCACTAGATCCTCTGAGCGTAGCCTGTCAATCAAGGCCTCCCTCTCTCTCACATCCTGCTGGTAGCCTTCCAGCCGGCTTTCAAAGTGAATGGACACGTCCCTTTCGCTGGTTGATCTGGCCTCCATCAGCTGCTCACGGAGACTATCTCTTTCTCTCACTATCTCATCATGCTTCATTTTCAAAGCTTCGAACTCGGTCCTACTGAAACAAGCGCTCATGTCCCGCTTGAGCCCATCAATTTCAGTTTGGAGGGTCATTGTGTCGGACTTCAGACGATCAATCACAGAATCTCTATCTCTGATCTCCTGTCGGTAGAATTCTTCATTGCTATCCAGCTGAACCGAACTAGACTGCACCCTCATGGTGTATGAAGAGCTGCTGCTGATGTCAGCTGCCTCCCTCTTCAGAGCCTCGATTTGGGCCTGTAAAGTGATGTTCTCGGAACGGAGCCTGTCTACGGCGATCTCTTTCTCCCTGATTTCTTGTCGGTAGTTTTCCATGCTGACGAAAGAACTGCGATCCCTGGTCTTAATCTCGTCCAATTCCTTTCGTAGGACCTCTTTCTCTGACCAAAGGCTGTCGTAACGTCGTTGAAGTGAGTCGTATTCCCTCCCTGCAACCTGAGAAACTGATGATACAGCCCTTTCCCTCAGCGCCTCGTTCTCAGACTTTAAGTTTAGGCTCTCACTGCGCAGGCGTTCAATTGTTAGTTCGTTGTCACGGAGTTGCTTGCGGTAGCCCACAGTCTGACTTTCCAGCTGAATGGAGACTTCATTCTGTTTTTTCGCAACCAACCGGGCAACTTCACGCTGCAAGGAATCCCTTTCTTTGCAAACGTCATCAAATTTAAGCTTAAAGGACTCGTACTCTCGGCTTGGTGAGGAAGCAGTTTTTGCTGCATCTTTCATCCTGGTAATCTCGGCAACGTACCCCTCCATGATGGCTTGCTTGTCTGCTGTGGTTGCCTGAAGTCTCTTGATATCAGCATCCTTCTCTGAAATCTCTTGACGATATACGCTGATACTCGCCTTGAGATCTCTGACTTCTTTTTGCAGGAGTTCACTTTGCTTGTTGTTTCCCGCCATCTCTGCTTCTTTCTTCGTGAACAACATGAGCTCCTCCTTCAGGGTAAGAACCTGTTTCTCAGTATCCCTGATGGACAGTTCAGCGGTATCCAACTTTTCTTTTGTTGTCTTCAATTGGTATTCCAAGCTGGAGATCTTCTTCTCGGCATTCACCACTTCGTGTTGCAACTCATTTTCTCTTTCTTGGCTTCGCTTGAGAGCAGTCTCCATTGAGGAAAACTGACTGAGAGATGTTCCTTTATCTTCGGCTTTCAATCGTTTAACCTCCTCTTGAAGTTCTGAGATCCTCTGGGTGGCCAAATCAAGGTTGTCAAATCTATCGCCATTAAATCCTGGGCTTTCGTGGTTGTGTCTTAAACTTGCAAAAGCTTCATCTATCTTACCTTTTTCCAGATGAACACAGTTAAAGCTTTCGTTCAATTGGTTGATTTTTTCATTAAGAGAAACGAATTCCTGAATGATGTCATTTTTCTCCAACGTAGACAAATATTCCTTGGAAATAAAACAAATGAAATGTGTCAGTTTTCAATTCCTAAAATAAAGTTAAACCGTATTTAAACCTGAATTTAAACTCACTACGCTCTGAGAAACTATCGAAGACAGATTGAAGCTTTTTCACTTCAACAGTTCTAATCAGGTGACCTGAGCTGAAAAGCTACATAGTGACAGAATAGACCGGTTTTGGATGCTTGTATGAACACAAAATTATGGAAGATTTTCCAAAACAGATATAAATCCTAAAAGTGTAACAGATTTTGTTATCATATATCGTTGCCTCGGAAATTAACTCCGACATAAAAGTCTATGTTCATCGATTTTCTTTCTGATGGATTTTAAAACAATTGTTTGTTTGAACGAGAGGTGTACCAAACTGTCCATCTCTTTGCCTCTTGTGAAAATTTTTTGCTATTCTAACCATTCTGTGCTTTATTTGAGCGCAGTGTTAAAACAAGTTAAACCTAAAAGGCAGATAGATATTTCCGAAAGATGTTGTTCTGCAAGCATAATGATAAAGAGGAATTCTTCATTTAAATTCGGTAATGATTAAGCTAATAATTATACATTCCTTGTATTTAATATGGTGGCATGGTTATATAAAATCTTAGCTTTTGCTCTGCGGTTGGATAAATTTATTTACATCCAATATCAAATTTAACATCCAATATCAAATTTAAAGCCTTTGTTACCCAACACAAAAGAGACGTTCAGAAAAAATTAAAACTAAATTTATACTAAACTATTCCACTAAATTATCCTTTTCCTTAGCTTCTGCCTTCTCTCCCGAAAAATTCGTTACACACATTATCTAAATTTCTACATGTCATCCGTTTTTACATCACGTTTCTCTCTCCCGCATCTAATTTGCTGTTCACTAGTGGTGTGATTGGTGTAATTATATGCGCGCAATTTAATTCAGTAGCAACAACAAAAGACGCCAACAACCCCTTTTGGAAAACGTTTTTAAAGTTTTGAAAGATTTCATCGGGAAAAAAAACTGAAATTGGGTAATTTTAGATTTCCAGGATGACGCTTCCATAGTAAATTTCTCAAATACGAGGTGATCACAGAAAGAACTATAATGACTTCGTCAATTCACTCGATATGAATTGGTATGCAAATCTTCCTGGAGTACATAATTATACCTTTTTTGTTTCATTCTTCGATGGTTTTGTACAAGAGTTATATAAGAGAGTCAATCTTGCCTAGGTTTACCAGGATTCAAATATCCGTATGCGAATGGTGTAACTTGGTTGCAGTAAGGCAAGTTCTGCCTCTCCATTACCACAAAAAATCGAAATGAGTTTGTTTGGAGGTAGAGGCTCATATCGCTCATTCCTTTAGATAAAACAATTCATCAATGAGTGATTTGTGAGAGACTAACCGACAAATTGAAAGTCAATTTGAAGGATGTTTACTGGGGACCTCTTTTAACTTATTTGTCAAACATCCACGACAGCGCCAGCGTATTCGATTTATTTTAACACTTTTAAGCTAGATTTCGCATATTTTGCATCAAACTCAATCTACATTTAGGACGTAATTTTGGTGCCCCCGTAAATATGCATCGGTTATTGAAACACGTAGACTTCTTAGACTAAAAACAATGTTATTCAAAGTTCGTTCAAGCAACGTTGCAAAAGCTATAACTTTATCCCCTTTTCAGGACTCTGAGAGAGCAACTTCCAAACAAACACACGAACCTAATTATTTGCATTTAAAAACAAAAATTAAGTAACGAACTCTTGATAATTGTTTTAAAGAAACGATAAGCATTGACAGTCTTGTTTCTCGATATTTCAAGCGCACTCATCTTTGAATTCACAAGCAACGCTCTGGCCGGACAAACTTAAGTTTCTGAAACTTTTGAATATTGCACAAGAAAGGCTGAACAAATCCGAGCAACATATCAAAGATTGCTAATTTGTACAAAAATATTGGTTCTTTAACAAAGGTACACTGTTTAAATATCAGTAAAGTTTTTTCCATTATCGGAAGAATCAGCAACGAGAAACTATTCCTCAAATAGAGCGGAATACTATTGCGTAAAAATGGCAGATGAAATTGTTCGTAGTAAGCAAACTCAACCACACCCACTAAAGAAACTTGGTTCTTGGCATTTCGAGAACAAGATTAATAAGTCTAATTTCCACGCGAAAAGACGATCATTCTGTCTTGAGAGACAATTAAAAATTGCTCCATATCTGAGCTGCTGAGTTTCGAAACAAAATGGACATTTAATAAGCAATTCTTATCCTGAGAGTCAACATTGCCTAACATTATTTGCCCTTCGCCACCCGTGCAGTATTTGACCCCGATTTCTGTGCAAAAGATAATGCCGTACTTCTTTACACATGACAGAAAATCAAGATTTTGGATAATCCAAGCTCTTATGCCGCAGCAAGAGATTAAATCTACGGAAATATTTCGAAATCGGACGTGGAACATTTCTAACCTCATTTTTCTGATTTATCACAATCTCCTTGAAGTCCTGTTGAAAATTCTCGAGGACGATCTCAAAATTGATTCCTGTAACTTCTTGAAGACTGGTCATTTTAGCGACGCGATCAGCTCAAAGCAGATAAGAGCAGCAAGAAGCAAAGACTGGGCAAAGCGTTCAGACAGAGAAAATAGTCCCCTAACCGTGAAGGTAGCAGGACTAAAATAGTATTAAAGGGACGCGAACTTTAAAAGATTACTGAGTTCTATTTGGAACAATCACTCTCTAGCACTATTGGCTGACTAATCCGTGGAATAACAAAGTTTATTCCCACTGGTATGTTCCCTAGAGTCTTATTACATACTGGGAGAGACTGATTGAGCAAGTCTCTTCCCACGGTGGCGCAGCACAAAAGTGAAGTTGCCCAGAAAACGGTCAAACGAAATTAAGGGTGATCTCTTTGAGCAGCCTGCAATGTTTACTGCAGTAACATACGCCCTTGTTTTGCGGTTGAGGTTTCGCGTCCTTTGTCACGCAGGCGCTTACAAAGCACAATGAGCATTTTGTCCATAAAAATGCGGTTTTCTGGCTAAAGTACAGTCTATTGTGAAGAATACAAAAGAAAGAATGATTGTGATTTTGACCTGGGAATTTAAATGATCTTGTTTTTACTCCAGTTTTTTAGCTGAAATAATCAGGACTTAGAAGAGCAGGCAGAATTTTGGACGCGTAACAAAGATAATGATTATTTGCGTTTCATTTTGACTGCGTTTTGTGCAAGCAGCGAGTGATTACACCATGTTGATTGTGGTACAGCAAGAGACCAATTATACACGTAATTTCAAACATTTCTTTTGATATTGTAATGTACTCTAAAGGTGTAAGTATATGAAAAGCTGAATTTAAACTTTGAATGCACGTTATCAAAAGCAAAGCACTATAATTGAAGGTTTCTTTTTTCAAAATCTAGCGCGTAAAGGTAATGCAGCTATAACCGCGGTCGTCGTGATTTTAGGAGAAATGCATAAACTTTATTTGATTCGTGCTGCGTTTAATTTCGTGTGTTAAGACATTTATACCATTTCTGACGTAAACGCTGATGAACGGTTGTTGTTTAATAAAGTTTAATTAATGAGATATTGTACTGCACAGATCCGTGATTTTCTCTACCATGATACAAATGAATTTCCAATCGGTAACTTACGGGGAATTTCCAAAATGGAGGAATTTTGTACTTTAGACATCTTCTCTACCAGAGATGTTTGACCTAAATGTTTTTGTTTTTCTTTACGGAAATTGAAACGGCTATGATTAATTGGTAACAGGACTTCATGTCATTCTATTCTGTCTGTTATCAGACTCATGATTGACAAATCGGACTCCCGCTTTGCGGTCGCCCGATTTTGTTTATCACTCGTATGATAACAGACCGAATTGGACTCCACTCGGTCCTATTACCAGTATTAACTCTGTCATTACTATTCTGTTAGATTACAAGTTACTCCACCGATGGGAAAAAAAGGGGAAAAAAAAGGAGACAGTGTTTAATGAGTCAGTAATGAAATCTGTTTAAACAGCCCAGTGATATAACCAGTTTGACGGGTTTTTAAATTGTGCAACACAAATCCACGTTTGTGAGTGTTAAAACAAATTATTATAAACCCACTCTTCTTCAAACGAGGACTACGACTTTCTCCTCACTTGTTTTTAAAGTTATCCGTTTTTGCAGCGTCATTACTGGATTTTGTTAAAAACACGCCTTTAAAAAACAAAGAGAATGGTAATGATAGTACAAAATAATTTTTTTTTCAATAAATATTTCCAAATCACGCGGTTCGTTCGACCGGTTTGCCATGAAAACATTTTTTTTTTCCTTTGGTTGAACAAAAAATCCGTTTATTATTCAAACAGTTTCAGTCCTTTTAATTTTTTTTCCATTTTAATTAAAACAAATAACAGTTTCTTATTACAGGGTTTTTACGGAAAACTGAAAGACAAGAAGCCAACAAGAAAATCATTGGTTTTTTAACAATTATTTCGAGATATTTGTGAAGATCAGCTCATACTATATTAAAAAGATATTAATAAAATGAACGAAAAGACTCTTTTTTTCGTTAAAATTAAAAACGAAAATTGGATATTGGGACTCTATTGAAATTTATTCCTAATATTACATTTCTAGTTTTCTCAAGTTAATTATTTCAGCTCGAGGGTGCTATCGAACAGCAGTGCGCTGACGAAATTATTTCCACGATTTGTGCGAAATTGAATGTAGAAAACTCTTTACATGATTCAATCATGTTTTATCTATTTCCTTTCGCCCTTGGACGTGGTAAACTTAATCTTAGCAGTCCAAGTCTGGCATTGACTAAATTTTTTTTTTCTCTTTGTTAATATGCTGAAATGAAAAGTTAAAAGGATCTGGACACGTTTGTGAGAGGAACTGTTACATAGAAAAGTGACTGTGAGAAACAGGAACTTCTTTAAACACATCCTGGGTTAGGAATAGGACTCAACAATCCTCAATTAATATTCCACGGTTTAAGCGCAACCTAGTGAGCTCCTGGCATAAACACAGTTTCGTATAAATTTTTGAAGACATCTGTCAATATACATTGTTTATTTTTTTCCTCCACATTTTGTCGCTCATTAAAAAAAGCTGCCTGGTCAAAGATGTGAAAGAATACATTACAAGAGGCAGAGATCTTTAAGATAAACAGCGCTGTGACTAATGACTCGAGTGGAAGTCTGCGCAATCGAGGAGTTGTCAGTACTTTGTTGATAAAAAGAAATTGCCACCTACCGAAGCTGATATGCTTCGCTTACATTTAAATCTGCACAGAAATGGAATTAGCAATATTTTAGTCAAAAGTTCGCGTCTAATTTTTACGAGCTCATTTCGTGTTTTTAAGAACGTGTCTAATTTACTCGCTTGTGTGAGCTACCTTGTCTCGGAAAAGTTATAAATGATCACGAAACTGAAGGTAATGCATAAAAATATGTTAAAGTGATGAATGCCACATCCGGAGAAAATAATTTAGTGATAAAAGCAAATTTCTCGGTGCCGCGATTAAAATATTCCAAAGTGTCTACTGATGAGAACGTAAAAAGCTGGATCACGTTTATAAGTTTAACTCTAACAAAGTAAGCAAAACTGCACGAAACGCTTAAAACGCTCTTATGACATCTTTTAATTATGCGAGTAGCGCAGAAACTTTATTCCAAATTTCATTTTCATCGGTTAACAAAAATGTTGCAAAAAGGTCCGAAATAAAGTAGGAACATAGAATTGAATTATAAATATTTCATTAAGTATTTTCGTTAAAAGTTATTCTGAAAATTGCGACAAAACTAGTATGATTTTTTCGACTTCACAGTTTTTCAACTGCCTGACTCGATAGGTCTGATATTTACTGATAAGATTACAATATAATCTATTAAGTTTAGTTTCACATCGAACTTTGCTCTCTTATTGAATCTACGACTTTAGCACGGGTGGAAGCAGTAGTTCTTTCGCGTGTTTTTTTGGCAAACCAACATTTGAAAATGCGTTTGAATGCTCGTCTGTAATCGCGATTTCGTGCCGCATATATCCACGGGTTTACCGCAGAGCTGCTGAAAGAGCATAGCGCTCCCCAGAACCAAACCCGAATAATTCGAATCTTAAGGCAGCCATTTGTTGTTACGAGTTGAATACCGCTTACAATCATGCTTGGAAAAGCCAAAAGTAGGTAAATCCCGATTATTACACCGATTGTGTTTGCCGCTTTTCGGTTGCGCTTCGTCTCGGAGGCGACCGAATCAGACGAACCTGCTTCAGCGGCTACAGTAGATACAGCCCTGGCTTCAGCCTCTATTCTCCTTGACTGACGCCGCGCTGTTTTGTAGATGTGATAGTAACTGTAACTGATGATCACAAATGGTAAAGTGTATCCAATGACAGCCACAGCTATCCACAATTTTGGCAGGTCCAATGGGTCTGTGATCACTAAACGAAGACACGAAAACGCTATGGAAAACAACCATATCACAGCGATTGAAAACACGCAGCGAAACAATGTCACCACACGAACATAATACATTGGATTTATTATGGCCAAGTACCGATCTAAACTCACGGCAGCAAGGTTAAAAGTTGTAGTTATTAATGTTTGTACTGACATCAGCTCTGCTGCTACTGTGAGAGGATGCTCGTTTTGCCAAACGTTAAGGACGCTTTTAGTCACCCAAAGAGGACTTAACAACGCGCCAACCAGAAAATCTCCAACAGCCAAAGATGCGATGTAATAATTTGACACTGAGTGCAATGAAGGCGTTTGGTAGATTGCAAGAAGAACTACAAAATTTCCAGCAGTGGAGAGGAAACCAGATATGGCGTGAAGAACGGCAAGAAATATTGAGGAAATGTGATGTAGCTCCCCTAGGCATTCTTCGGACATGATGCTACAGGTTTTCGATGCGCAAATATAGTTGAAAAATTTCGTTAAGTTCCCTTAATCTGGCTGAGTGTGGTTTCTTTAGAAAATTCAGTGCAGGTGATCCTCTTGTTAAGAGGTATACACGAGCTGACTTCTTAGTTAAATCCAGCTAAAATGGTATTCATTACTTTTTATGCAATTTGTCATTCACTTCACGCGCATATGGCTCCAAAAAGTGTTTTCATTGGTTGCCACAAGCAACTTGTCTTAACGATTAGCATTAATTGAAAACCTCAACATAGACGCTTCAATGATCAATTTGCCAGCACGCTATCACTGAGCACGGTGCCAAGCCATTACTGAAATAGTGAACCGCGGCACGTTACGATACAACTTTAGCAGTTCATAAGTTCAATATCGTTGGACTAGAATAACGTTCCAAAAGGTTCCAAAAGGTTACCCGAAGTGAAGTTTTGTTCTCTTCATGCCAATCAAGATGATTGTCATTCTCAGAAACTTATTGCTGTTCTTCGTGACAATGAACTGATTCCTGGTGAAGTTCGCCTCAACATCAGCACAACATGCAATTTTAATAAAGATTGCCCAAAAATTTGTTTAAAGGTTTTTATTTAATTTCACCAGCCAAGTAAAAACGTATTTGATCATCTGTCGACAGTGACAGGAGATCTAACCTTATGGAGCTTTTACGTAAGACAACTACGTGCTGCAGATAAAACCTTAAGGTTTATATTCCTTCTTTAATCTAGTGAACTGTCCTGTTTTTAATTTACCTCCTAGCTACACAAGGAAAGCTATTCAAGCTAAAATCGTATTTCTTAATGTAGTTAATAATTTTTTTTTTTGAGCTTGAACAAACTTAATATAAAAAATACCTAGAAATCTCGATTTCGATCAGCCAACAGTGACAGCTTTTCTTTAATGGAAAAAATTGTTTGCTACTCAAGCAATTAAACTAGTGAGAATAGTTGGTACTCTAAACGAACTTTTCTTCCGCAGGCGTTGCTTTTAATTTAGTTTCTGTAAGTTTTCTATCATCAAAAGCGTATTCTTCAAAAACGTTAAGACTTGGACGTTGCATGAAAAAGAAAGCAGGGTAACTTCATGCAGCTTGTAACCAAGCAACGAAGATCAATTTAAAACGTTTTTTTACAGTTACTCGCCAGCAAAGTTTGATACAATGAATCACCCGGCAAGTTGGTGAAGTGGCCTTTGTTGGAAACTGCTTGCGTTCGGAAGTAAATGATTGTGCAAAACCTCATTGTAATTGTTGTTCGTTTTATGTCTGTTCTTTGCGGAATTGTTTTGAAGAACTGTCACTAATTTGGAACGATATTGCACGTTTGTAAAATCTACGGGGAAAAACGCCAGGGTTCGGTAAACAATCAGGAAACAACCGCTTGCAGCCAGATTTTTCCTGAATTCGAACTCCCTCGGAATTTTTTTTTTTCGAACAACGCTTTTTTAAGGAACGGATCGCGATGAGGAACAATATATGAGACAGCTTGAAAAGTATGTTCGAGTCGGTTAACTTTAATCTCAGCCTCTTACTGAATTATATTGTATCAATATTGTGGTGAAATTTCAAGCTCTCGAATGTGTTTACTGAATGCAAACTTAAACAAAAAAAGACTGACTCCGACTGATTTAGTTTAAAATTTCCATAAATGTTTGCTCGATAAGTTGTATTTCAAAGTGGCCCAGTCTCTTACCGTGCAGAATCTGTTAATGTCACTCGGGAAAACTTGTCAAAAGCTACGTGATACAATTCTAATCTCGTTTATTTTCTGTGTCGTGTGAATTGTCATTTTGCGAAGCCGATGTTTGGCCAGCTTAAGGGGAGCGGGAGAGCAGGGGGGGGGGGGTTAATCAACCATAGTCCCTCCCCCCTCACCACTTTTGCCACTTTTCATCCAACTTTATCATACAAAGTTGAACTACACCGCTGTCGCTCACCGGTTTTTTTTCCTCATATGCGCCAATGAGTAAATATGGAGACCTATGGTAAGAATAAAAATCAAAAGTATGTCAAGTTTGTCGATATGTATCCTTAAGTTTTTGTCTTCTCGAAAAAAAAATAATGTGAATGTGACGCCGTACATTAGCATGTGACGTAGTTCAGAATCAGTCCTTGGCGGTTACCTATCAGTTGTTGACAAAAAATAAAGTGCTTAAATAAATTTTCAAAAGAAAAACTCACATATGATGCAAGGTTATTTTATGAAGGTCCGAAAATGTCATATTTATTTTCGTAATAAACTCTTTTCAAGTCTAGATTGTTTTTCTGCAAAAATTGATTGAAATTCAATCTTAGTTATTATCACATCGCCTTTGCCAAATGGTGCGCAAAATACATGTATTGAATTCGGTTTCCTTTCTATTTATTCCAGTCATCGTAAGTGTACATGCAATGGCCATCAGCTTCATCTCCAAACACGATATTCTTTTTTTTTTTTGGCTTGGTTATTTCGAAAACACCGTAGCTCCTTTTTTTCTAAAATCCTAGATGCCATAAAAATCGAACCTTTGAGGGAGAGGAGTTTGATAAACGGTCAACCTCTCATGTCCGATTTGTTTCATACTGACATGCATGTAATCAAGAAATAAAATATATCTTTTAATAATCACAAAAGCGTAAGGATTATTGCGCGGATTTAAAAATATCCTTTCTACATCAGTTTTACTGTTGATTCTGCTTGAATCAATAATCTTTCTGTTCTAGCACTTAACTTGCATACAAAGCTAGCTTTAATTACTAAAGATTCGGCATCATTGCGTTATAGAGCCCTTAAATTAGTGATCAGAATCTGAAACTACTCAAAATTTATTGCCTGTTTCTGGAATGATGGTTTATAATATCACATCAGGTTAGAAGACGCCGATAGAACCCCAATTTAACAAACACCATAATTCACTGAAAGGCGATAGGGTCAAGTTAATCCATATTGCATTTCTCATATTTTTTGAAATGACAAGTTTGTCAATGCAGGGATCACATCACTCTCTCTTGCAGATCTCACTGAAGTTGCTTAACCCACGCTGATATTAACATATTATCATACTTCTCAGCCCAAAAATTTACTAGAGAACTGAATTTAAACTTTTACTCTCAAGCTAGCTATGAAAATACTTTGCACGTGCTCACTTGAATTTTTTTTTTTCTGTGAAAAAAGAAAAGGGTCATTGAAGAACTGTAATAAAACACTGAAGGTGACTGCTTTCAAGCTTGTTAATTAAGTGTTTCCATATAGGAGGTTAAACAAAAAGGTAATGTTATTGATGGATTTTCCAACCCGGCGATCTTCACGAATCTGTATCACCGCTGATTAAAATACACATTGGTTCCCTCAAATATTATAGACACCTGCGCTGTCTCGTTTATAAGTGTATAAATAAGCTCGGGAATCAACAAAGTTTTTGTTTCAAATCTAGTGCACTTTTAATTCGCACGTTGTAATCAAAGGCAATTCATTTCAATGTGATTGTTTTGTGCTGTTTTTCGCGTTATGGTTGAGAAATGAAGATTTCCAACACATTTCTCTGTCAGTTTTGGTGCTGATCAGTTTGATACAAAGATCTCATATCATGGGAGATCAACCGCATTGTTCAGGAGATATATCTACTGCCTCAGCTATAATCCTGGGAATTTTGAACGCAGTATCCGGATTAGCGGCCATCAGTGGAAATCTAATGGTTCTTGTAACTTTCTTCAAGAACCGCTCCCTTCACCAACCGTGTTATTACCTCATTGCTTCATTATCAGCCATCGATCTGTTCGTGGGCTTGACAGTGAATCCGTTGTACATCTTGTTAACTAACGTTGTCCCTTGGCAGTACAGAGAGAAGCATCTCCTGCAGCTGGAAAGCTTTTTTGCAATGTCCAGTTCGATGATCATCATGCACACTTTGTGCACTATGAGCCTAGAACGCTACACTGCTGTTATCTTTCCGTTGCGCTATTACAGCTTTGTAACCGTAAAGCGCACTGTAATCGCTGCAATAATCACTTGGGTTTTCGGCTTCACGCTCAATGCCTTTTCCTTTGCACTGGATTCCCAAGACTTGCCAAAACTGTGGATTATCTGTGGAGTATTAACAGGTCTTGTCCCCATGGTCATCATCTTTTACTCCTATGGGAAAATTTTCATAGCTGCGCGCGATCAATCGCGAAGAATTGCCATTGCAGAGAACAGTGTCTCCGTAATTTCGCGAGACGCTGAGAGCACCGAGAATGGCGCAGAAATAACCCCTCGAATTGAACCCAAAAAAGCTAAGAAAAACGCCTGGACAGTAGGAATAGTTGTTCTGGTGGCTGTCTCTCTCTCTATGCCAGTAAGTGTGGTCAGTGTTCTGCAGATTGTCACCAGCGACTTGTGTCGTCGCAGACATTACAACCGAGCATGGATGTGGGCCGCTACGCTGTCTCTTACAAGTTCGGCAATGGATCCGTGGATATACGCAATGAGAATTAGGGAGTTCAGAGCCACCTTCAAACGCACACTGTGTATAAAATAATTTAAGTGAAAAGAAAAGCAAACTCACCAACTACTGCGGAACTAAAGCTCATTAACCAAATCCTTACTCAAAGGTCATGTGCCAGAACCGAGCTGGTTGTGTGGGAATGAGCAATCAAGATTTCTGAGGTGTCAAAACATGCTCGCAAAAAACTTTCCTTGTCATATTTCTCAGTTGGGACGTTTCACTAGTAGTGCCTGTTTATGGTTTAAACGAAGAACCGGTGCCCAATTCTTTATCATACGGGTTGAAGGTTCCGCTGTCCCAACTGAAATGCGGCCGTTCCTTAAATTTCTGAATCTGAAACACAATAACTCGAACCATACGACCACAATTTTATTGAAGAGTTTTATTCCTAACATCGCAAGCTACTGACTCATCTTTCATTATAATCTGGCAGATCAAAATTTCATCTTTTAAACATCTAAACCTGATTTTCATCTGTTAAAAATTTTTATCGTGCGATTTCTCTGACAAAAATACTTAAAAAAGAGCAAACACACAGTATGTTTATATTTAAGGGTTGTCAAGTTCTGCTCTCGAAGAATCTTACTAAACACCGTACGCCTTCTTAATTACCACAACTACGTCTCTCCTGGAGATCAAATCTAAATTGTCGGTTAAATGCTTCCTCTGCGAGGCTGAATTTTAGGGCATTGAGAATAAGTACCAAATATCCGGATGAAATGAACCAACTTTCCGTTTAATTTTTATCTTTTGATTAAGCGCACTTTACCTTGAACGGAGACATTTTAAGGCCGAGGTGAAGGTCAATTCATGTTAATTGGAATCGGCAGTTAACACGAAAGTTTACTTGGGAAACCAATTTTGATTGGTTGAGTGTAGTGTAGATACAGTAAATGAGAAGCTTGCGAAATGTGTAGGAGTTAATGAACAAAATGGGAAAGTGAACACGTTAGATCCGATGGAAAAAAAAAACTTGTACGCATGAATAAAACGTGATTTCAATTTCAGATCGAAAACAATTTCAATTGCCTCTCTTGAGGTTAGTGACTATTAGCGGGTTTAAGATTAATTTTTTGCAGTAAACGACAAAAGGCCAAAATGTACTCTAAAAATTTCTATGATATCGCTTAATTTATCGATGACCCCTGCACCAAGACTGTAGAAAATTAGTAAATAATCCTCTGATTATTTTAAATGCAAATGTTTTAACTTGAGCTACAACATGAAAATAGCCGAAAGCGGTCTTACAAGGTTATTTTTTTTGCTGCCTTAAGTAAATATGAGGTAAATTTAGAACGACGAAGATAATGTATATGGCTGAATAGATAGAACCGACATCTGTACAGTGTACATAAATTGCATCGATATTTGATCGTCAACGTTTACGAACCTTTATCGGACAGAAATGATTTGTTTTACAGATAACTGAATTTTAAATGGCATGTTGATGTATACATGAATTTACGTTACTAAACTGAAAATAAAATTTCATATTAAAATACTTATATTGCATAGCTTAAGAATACTCGTTTATTTATTCTGCGTCGGCGTACGGCGAAAAGAAACAAAACAGCACTTTAGTTTAATGTAATGCCTTTTATCGAGTCCCAAAAAATTAATTGCATATCGCAAAGTCTAACTTCAAAGCTCTTAAAGTATCCCTTGATTTTCGAGGACCGTGGAAACAAACTATGAGACACTTTAACGATGAAATTTCTCAGGCGACAAAAAAAATTGAGATTGGAAAAATTTGAAAGAGGTTGAAAGTTAAGATGTCATTAACCTTCATATTCCAGGCTCTGAAAATCCCAAGATTGGGTTAAATTTCCAAATGAGCTCCCTAGCGCCGGGAGAGACTGGAGAAAAGTCAAGCGCCCCTTATGGCGCGGTGGCCGCCCCACATTCTTCCTCTTCTCTTCTAGCAAGGTAAAATGGCGGACATGAAATTTCTGTAACAACCACGTGTATTTAAATTTCACGGCTATTACGGAGTGTAAGAGCGCCATCTAACTTATAAGTTATGCGCTGAAAAATAGCTGTATATCTTCTTTCTAACAGATGCCCGGTGGTGTGACAGTGAAAGACGTTTGTCCACACGAATTCATCAAGGCTTTGGCGGCCCATTTGAAGAAGTGAGTTTTGATGAAGTTGCCTTGTTTGACGGCTTTGTCGGCCGCACATCGATCTGAATGTCACTCTCTTTAAATGCAATTCTTTTAAGGTGGTGAAGTTGAATTTATTAATTCTGAATTTATTGTGTTTATGTCAAAAACACCCGGATATAAAGTTTGCAGTGATACGAAGTTTACAGCAAGGGTAGGCTCGACTTTAGGTCAAGTTGACCAAATTGATGCACAGAAGCAACTTTTCAGTTAATGGCAAAATTCAATTCGCTGTTGTAAAACTTAAAAACATCCAGCTAATCACTCAGACTTCGAAAGACCTCGTGGTTACATTTTGTCAGAAGTATATTTTTGCCTTTGCATACTGTATATCAATCTCAGCTGATACACTACTCCTGTAAGATTTGGTTAAAGATTACATGATGTTGTTGTTATTATTATTACTTTTTTTTATATATCTATAATTTTACTTTAAACACACTTGAATTGTGATTTGTTGACTATGTCTTGCTTGTTTTATTTAACATGTAATGAACAGGCATTTAATAATTTGTAACCTAAAGATCAGTTGCAGTTCATGTCTCTTTGTTCATTACTGAACTAACAGTAATTGTGAATTTTATTTTTAGATATATGATTTAAAAGTTAGAGAAACATTTCAGCATTGATGTCATCTTGTGGTTCACAGTTGCACACCAAATTCTGTTTACCTTTTCCTCCATGTAAACTCTTATGCTTCTGAAACAAAACTTCCTGCACTTGCGTATAATCTTGATAGTTTCAAGGAAATTAAAGCAATTGAAATCAACATTAGTTACATGTATTTTTCCCCTCTACATACGCATGATTTGTTGATTTGAATCTCTAGGGGTGGCAAGCTGAAGGTTCCCGAATGGGTGGACTTAGTTAAAACAGCCAAAAGGAAAGAACTTGCCCCATACGATCCTGACTGGTATTACATCAGGGCAGGTAATGGAGCTGTTTGCTTTTTTTATTGTTGTGAAAGAACATCAAACATCTTGCTTTATCAGTAAAAACAGAAATCTAGCTACAGAACTAGAAAAATTTTTTGTAAATTAAAGATGTTCACCAAAACTTTGCAGGGCTCCAAGTTAAAAGAAAATATGTATAGAGGACATTTTGGGAAATGGTACTTGATATTTTTTAAATGAAAATTTATCTTGAACTTACTTAAGACCATATCGCAAACAGAATTTTCAAAAAATTACTAGTAGCTACTTGACCACAGAATATAGCTCACTGAATTGGTTACTCCTTTAGCAAATTTAGTTTTTGAAAATTTTATTCCACTAACCATGGCAATCAAAACAGCTACAGCTTGGAGAGATACAGGGGGAAAATAGATGTACCCAACATTTGTACTTGCTCTGCTTGTGTTGAAACCATTTGATTGTGTGTCATGGTCTCACTTAAGTGTTAATATGAATGATGTCATTCCCATAATCACCTAAAGAATCAAAGGTAAAGAATTGGCATGGCTGGTTATTTGTTTCATGCTATTATTGATGAACACACTGTTTGCTATTGAATTAAACAGCTTCAATCCTCCGTCATGTGTACCTGCGCAGTGGTATTGGTGTTGGTCACCTCACTCGTGTTTATGGAGGTATTTTATTATCCTTTGTGCTTGTTGTTGTGTCATTTACATTGGTTGATTGTTTTATTGTCATTATTAGATGAAACTAAGAAGAAGTGATTTAGAAAAACATTTAACCATAAAAAATTGCAATAAAACATTTCTTTAAATCATTTGAAGATTGCTAAAAACCAACAACATTTTGATGTTGGCTAAATGTCATTATCAAGTCAAAAAAATATTTGTAAGGTGCAGTCTATATATACTAAAGTAACTTTGCCTGATAAAAAGCTATACCGCAAGAAAATAAAAATTTTTTATAGTTTAGTCTTTGAATTGTTGTTCATCAAGAATCTCAAGCCTAGTTTAAATATCAAGATGGACTCCATACATGCCAAACTTTCTGTTTGGTCACTATTGTTTTTTCTTATGGTATAGCTTTTTATGACTTATTGTTTGCAAGCACCCTCCAGAATCGTAAACCAATTAATGTTAGTTTAATCTGTGGAACACAAGAACATACCATCACAGCTTGTTGTGTCTACACTTTCTGATTCTCCTATAGCTAAAATAATATAAAGTTGCAGTAAACACTGTGGAGAAATGTTAATAAGAGCACAGGGACTAAAGTGGGCCAACACAGATCTGGAACAGTTTTCCCAGAGTACAATACCTTGACATAGTTTCCTTAACCCTTTAACTCCCAAGATCTCATTAGTAATTCTCCTTACTGTCTACCATACAATTCATATGATATTAGTTTTGATAATTTGATATTGGATCAACTAATAATCCCCTAGTTGATATTTTTCTTTATTCTCATTACTTGTCCGCTCGATATTGTACTGACAGTGTAAGGAGAAATTCTGTCTTAGTCACTAGTGGGACTTAAAGGGTTAACAGGGTGTGAAATTGCGCCTAATACAGGCGCCAATGCGACTAAATTTTTCACTTTGGTGACCAAATCCTGAAAGTTAGTCACCAAATTGGCGACTAGAACATTTCATCATAACCTTACCAAGAGATATAGTGAATTAAAAAGATTTGCAAAGATAAATCCGCAGCAAACTTCCTCATTAAGTTTGTTTCTAAAACGTAGCACGTGCTTCTTGATCAACAACTAGACGCCGTCTTGGATTTAGATGAGCCTGAACGTTGTATATCATCCATCCTAGTGTCCACTTTGTAGCACTTAAAGATCTTTTCCCTAACTTAATTTTGGAGGGTCTATCTCGAACGCTGACAGCGTAAAGAAAGATTTTGTTTATCTTTGAAAATGGCAACCAACTTTTTTTTGAATTGGCTACCACTTTGAAGAATTTAGGAGCCAAGTGGCTATCAGAAAAAAAAAGTTAATTTCACGCCCTGGTTAACAATAATTATTTTGTGCAAGAGCTTATGTACATTTGTTAGTTTGAGGGAAGATATTTACAGAGGGACAAAGATATTGCATGTATTCATAGTAACCTCTCAAAACAAAACTATAACATGGGAGACAAACCAGGATATTTCTTGTGTTATGCAGGACGCAAGCGACGTGGTGTCAGGCCAAGCCATTTTGAGCGCGGTTCTTCATCTATCGCTCGCAACATTTTGAAAGGCCTGGAACAGCTTAAAATGGTTGAAAAGGACAACACCGGGTAAGAAAAATAACGTATTTTCTTGACAGTCGTTCTTATATACACTTGAAATATGTGAGACAAACTTTTCTGTTACCAGGCATAGTATAATAACATGATTTTGAGTGCAATTTGGTGTTAAAAAGCACAAGCAAATTTTTCAGACATAAAAATTGCAGAAGCCCAGAAGGTGAAGTGCAATTTGTAGTCTTTGAAAAATTTACAATTTTGCTTATTACACTAAATTACTACAGAATTTGTTATTACATGTTAATAATTCACATGAAATAAACATATGAAATTTTTGAAAGTGTGCATGTCCTATTTGTAATTTGCACTTGTGTTTCAACTTTGCACTTCTGTTATATGAGAATGCACTCATTTTCAGCCAATTAGAAGCACATAATTTTTTCATGTACATAATTACATCATTTCTGTTCCTTCAGCGGTACTTTTTAGATGGTGAGTGGTTCATAAGGGTAAGGGAACATCGTTTGTTGATCGAAAATGTTGTTCTCTTTCAGAGGCCGAGCAATCACAAGTCAAGGCCAGAGGGATTTGGACCGAATCGCTTGCCAGGTAAACTTGAAGTTTTGATCTTTGTTTTGGAAGAGATATTTACAACTAGGGTTGTCAAAGTTTTTCAGTCATCCCATAATTTGTTCACAAGTAAGGGAAACAACTTCCTCGCTTAAAGTTATGGTATCTACCTCTCAGAGTGACTAGCATCTAATTCCTCCCTACAATATCACCCCTGAGTCACTCATTTAGGTCATGAGAATTGAGGAACTGATCACCAACTAAAGAAGTTCTTGATTGTAAACAGATTTCTACTGTCAGCACCTGGGTGTAAATGGTTAATAGTTTTGTAGAGGAATGTGCTCTTTTCGTTTTCCTGCTGCTTTTTAGTTCTTCCATTGTAATTTTTCATAGCTTTTTATTTGGGGAACACTATTTTTGTCCAAGGGCTGAATGTGATTTGATGTTAAGAGAGTGCTCTTCTATGACAGTTGAAACTCACATTTTCTGTTTTTGGTTCCACAGGTTGTGCCAAGTTCTTAAACTAAAGCCAAACATGTAAAATTTCATCAAAAAATAAAGATATCTGTTTCACAGTGACTAAAGGAGACCTTGATTTTGTCTGTAAATGCTGGACTCTGAAACTTAGAGTCCAAGTTCATACTATGGCTAGGCTCACAGCATTTTTCCTTTTGGAAATTGACTGATTGATGATTGGATGATGAGTGTGAGATTTCTATGGTTTGATAGCTGATGATTGCTGATTGGTTACTTTTAAAACCGAAGATTCATTTCTCCCTCCATTTTTTGCCACCCATGAACCCAAATGTAGAATAATAATAAAAAATATATATATATATATATTATGTATGTTTCAATGTTTGAACACAGTTCTTAACCCTTTGAATCCTGAAATCAAATATTGAGGTCCCAAGAATAAAGGACCTCATCACTAACTAAAGAGACTCTTGATTGTTAAACACATTTTCCCTGTTGGCACCTCGTGAAAATTATGGAGAACAGAGTATGGAAAATAGGCATACTGATGTTACAGTGTTGAGGATTGATTGTTACAGATGTTATCACATCAATAAATTTACAAAGGTGTTGTAAAGAAGGGATCCTATTTCAGTAGTCAGGGTTCAATGATTCATTATTTTTACTAGATATCTTACACATCGTGAGACTTAAGTTTTTTTGTATGGTACTTCCATTGCGACTTGAAAATTATATTGGTTATGAGCACCCAAAGGCACACATAAGATTGAGTGACCGAGTTGAACTTTTGGGGAAAGCAACTCTGAAATCACAAGAGCCTTTGCGAGGGAAATTTTAGAGTTACTTCTTTGATTTTCCTGCGTGGGCAAGCTACTACGAACTGCTGCTGGCCGTCGAAGAACAGAAAAACTGAGTGAAATAACTGGGAAAGCAAAGTTGTCAAGAATTGTCATTATTGTTAATGAAGCTAAAATTGGATGCTATTTATAAGGCGCGCGAGGTAAAGGAAATGGAGTCCACCACGCGTTGCGGATTGGTTTCGTTAGGACGCCGCGAGATCTTATCGGTATTGCTTTTGCGTGTGTAAAGTTTGCGTGATCATCTCGCACGCAAGCCGCACGAAATACACGCGCAGATCCCATACGTCACACTACCTACGTGATCGTGACATACAAAGCCGATTAAGTTAATCCAGGCAGGGAACTTCCCTTCCCTGCAGGAAACACGACCAGATTCCATCACAAGGCCAAAGGTTATCTGGCAGCTCCACTCACTGACACGGTAGGATTCAAAATACACCACGTACTTCGATAATACGCTGCCTCCTTTACGTAAGTATATTCACTGTACTCTTCTACGTTATCTCTGGTACGGAACGCTTTGGTTGCTAACAGTACTGAGAGCGTCGAGTCGACTAAAGACACTGTCTACACCAAGTGACCGTTCGGCTTTCACTTTGTAGATGATCTGCGCATAATTCTCAAGGTACGATCGATGCATTCCTCGCTTCAGACAACCCAAACTGACCAGATCTACTGGCCAATGAGTTTTGTCTAACTCTCCTGCAAGTAACTTTTATTTAAGAACCCCGTAACAATTCATACCAAGTTCTTGACTTTTTTACATTTCTGCAATACCCCTCCCCATCCCCCCACCCCCAGAACATAGGTTTGTTTTAAGCACCACCCCCCTCTCTTCACACAAAACAGACTATTTTTGGTGAAAACTTTATCCCGGTTGCTTCTCTAAGAAAAGCTTTACTGCACTTGTTGGAATCCTTCAAATAATGACGTTTATTAGCGCAGATGAAGCTCTTGCTTCAGAGAAGAAACCTAATTAAGATCATTTTATTCAACACAAAGCTATTCCCGATTCATCTCGTTTTCTTCTGTTTTAATTTGCCTTATTTTTGACGATGAAGGTTAATGTTGCCGATGAGAATATGAAGTTTGCTCTTTTAATCGCCGTTCAAAATGTGTTCATCTTGGCTGTCTCTGAGCAGAGGATTACACCTTGGACAAACAGGGACTGCGCAAGGGTAAGAATGACCTTCTCCCCGTTAGAAGTAAATCTTTCAGCCATGCACCCCCTATCCATTCTCTTTTCTCTTCGAATCCCCAGCTGAGGAATTCTCTCTTTCAGTGAGAGCGATTGTCAGACAATTTTTTGCGTGAGTTTCTGAGTAAACTTGGCAATGCATTAGATCTATTTTAAGCTGTTAAAGTGATAACAATACACCATTATTTAGAGAATAAACAATGAATCGTCCAATTTTAAACTGTAAGCTGATTACTTAAAATCCCCTAATCGTGATATGATACATTGCCAACGCGCCTTTTACACGCGCGAGGGAAAATTACGCCGGCACGCGTGCTAACGCGAATTTACCCGCGCACGCTACTTGCTTTTGCAATCATTACACCTAAACCAAGTACGAAGGTGATTTTACTCACTCCTTCTCTCATTCTGTCTCCAACTTTGAAATGTTCCTTACGAGATATTCGCAACTACTTTACGTCACGCGAGCATAATCGTGTATCGTGATGAGATACTTGAGAGATAAAGCGTCATTAGAGAAACCAAAATTTTGCCTTTAGACATGACGATTTTATTTTAGTCAAATACGCATTATTTTACGATGTGATCAAATTATCCGCAAAGTGAATTTTACCAGATTAACGACGTGTTTTGACGGAAAGCTTTTTAAACTTCAGATGACTCAGGCTTGTGATCAGATAACAACTGGCGTCCAAGGAACATCCGGGCCTCCAGGAATCGCTGGGAGCCGCGGTGAACCGGGCCCGGCAGGACCTGCAGGACCACAGGGGCTTAGAGGGCCTCCTGGAAGATCTAGACCCGGCCCCCCAGGACCACCGGGGCCACCAACGGGTCAACGGCCGGGTCCCCCAGGGGATCGCGGCGAAAGAGGAAGGAGAGGGAGCCCCGGGGACCCTGGAGACGATGGAGAGAATGGACTGAGAGGAAGGAAAGGATTTAAGGGGTTTGATGGAGTTAAGGGAAAGAGAGGCCCGGAGGGAAGTCCTGGAGAGCGAGGGCCTCCTGGTGTGACAGGATCCGCCGGTACCATGGGAGCTTGGACGCGCTGCTCCTGGGAGTTAAACCGCAATAAAGATAACGGACTGCTAAAGGTTTACTAGCCACACATTTGTTTTGTTTTGTTTTTTATTTATTTATTTTTTATAAATGTATTATACCATTATGCAGCTGCTTTGGTCTGGGAGAACCAAGCGCTAAACTTCTTGACATAGCGTCTTTGGGGCGAAGAGGTCTTTGGATTGCCTCAGATTCCAAAAGACAACAGTCTTTCATCGATTTCCACAAACACAATCGCTTAACATGCACATCGGCAACAAGCCGCGACATCTAATCGTAGATTTGCCTTTGATAACTCGTGGATGTAGAATTTGTGTTCATTTCAAATACTTTTAATCAGTTCTGTACATTTGAATCTAGAACGGATCCAAATAAATTCTCTTTTTTTCAGGAATGTATTTTCACCAAAAAAGACCCCAACTCAGTCTTACGCGTGGTGTATGAAGGAAATCTACAGATTGGTCTCTGCCAGGATTGCTGCAAGCGTTGGTACTTTATATTCGACGACGCCGAGTGTAACAACCCAGGCCCTATCGACGCGATTGTGTCGGGAGGTCTGAGTCGTGATTACCCCTTTTACTCCTATGGCAGAATCGAAGGCTTTTGTGAAAGAAGATTTTCTTCAGGGCCGATTCGAATTGGACTGCAAATGGAGAACTGTAAGACTTTTGCGAGCTCTCTGTTACCCTACAATATACAACTGTACAAGCGTTATGGAAATATACTCATTCAAGAAGTTTCGCCAGCGCAGTGAAATACATCTGTAACCAGTTTTCCCAGTCTCTCTTAGCCCGAGTGTTAACGCGGTCCCATTTTTTGTTCCTTTCCCAGCTGTGAAGCCAATGACAACTTTAAATCTTTCCTTAATAACTACGCAAAATAAAGAATTTCTCCAAAAACAAATGGATATCGATAAAAGCGCGGGTATGGCCTGTGGAAAAAGTTTAAAAGGTAATCTACAGTCTACACTGTTGAATTACCAGGTAAAACTTAAGGTCTTGAGTATTGGAATAAATATATCAATCATTGCAAACTGTGGGAGCCTTTATTTTAAACTCTGGATCTAAGGAACTGTTGAGAATCTTGGAAATCTTAAGAAGAATATCGTCTTTTACTCTTTGATGGTAGAGTCATACAGTGGAACATTCATAATCAGAGCTCGTTCCATTAAAATTCCTCCTCTTTCTTGCCCTGTGTTCATAGCAGTACTCCTTCTCTCACAATATGACCGTTGTGTAAGAAAACAGAGAAAATTGACGCCGCGCGCAATCTGGGGTCGAGAAACAGACTTTTCTCTAAGAGGGAATGCATCATCGGTTTCCTTGTTTCTTTTTTTACTGCGTTTGACGAATAAATCTGAAGAAGAGAAGCTGTTTGTAGTTTAATTTTTTTTGCGTCTTGTGGAGCAGAAAATTTCATTAGTGCTTGCAAGGCTTGGTTGTTTATTCGCGAGAAATTTTGGCAGCTAATATAAATCAATTTAGCCAGCGTTTGTTTATCACAAAGTTCCTCATTCTTGTAGTCAATCATTTTCTGCGCGACTCCCACGCCTGTCGATCGTGCAAGTTATTCATTCCACACCTTCTCATACGCGCATGTTTCATGCACTCGCGCGAACCTCACCTGGAGCGCTTCAAACAGAGAGGAAAGAATTGTAAAAGCGCATAATCGACAGAAGTGAAAATCTTAGGTCCGTCCTATAGTATTGACGAATCTTTGTCAAATGTTTACTTGTTATTTCCTTCAGAGACACTCCAAGACAATGAATAAACAATGCACAACTATATTGTTCAAAACGAGAATTTTCGTGGCTGTTTTTCGCGAACTGACGAGCAGGGCTTATCTCTTTAAATCCGGAAATCCCCTTGCGATGAATCAGTTAACAAAGACATCCTGTTGTTTTGCGCTCTTCTTCTCGACGTCACGTAATCTCGTGAGAGAAAACAGACACAATATTGTAGTTGATGTGATCGTGACGCGCAACGCACTTAAAGCGGACGGAGATGACGGCAACTTGCTCTCTTTTATTTCTGTCTTTTGTTGTGTTTAGGACAGTTTTTGCTCAAGGGGATATTGTGTGGACATCATCAGAATGTCGCAGGGTGAGGTTTCTTCTCTGTTTCGTTTATTAAGACATTCTAAGTGAACATATGCCTGTTGACGCTACTTATTCTGTGTCTTGTGAATAACAGACCTTTTAGAAGACAACAATCTAGGCCATTTTCTGGTGAAGCCAACATTTTCTTAGAGAGAGTTTAATGTAAACATATTTCCAAATGGAAACCATCAACAGAAAATTATACACTCGATAAGAAATCTATCTTTAGCCGATCTTCAGCTCAGCATTCCACATACTCACCCTTCCCCTCCTTGGGTTGGCTACCCCCTCTCCTGTTTCTAAATGACGCAGGTATGATACGATATACGGAAAAATAAGCGCTGAGTCAAACACCCGTGGAGCATGACTCTTGTCAAGAAGATAGAATTCTCTCTTTTTCATGCACCGTAAAACTTACTAGTTTCTATAGGTAGTTTCTCAACCCATTTTGCTCTTCTGGTAAGGGAGAATTTGATCCTCAATCACAAAAAAAGGCAAGTATTAATGTAAATTTTTTTGTAGATGATGGAGTCGTGCGAGCTACTTTCCGGTCTTCCAGGACCCCCCGGATCAATTGGACTCAAAGGTTTTAGAGGGGCCCAGGGACCAAGTGGTCCACTTGGCGACAGAGGGTTTCCGGGAGAGCCCGGTGATTCCCCACAGGGAGGTGGTGGATTTCCCGTGAAAGGAGCAAAAGGGGACCTTGGAGAAGAAGGAGCAAAAGGAGCAAACGGGTTGAAGGGGGAACCAGGGATACCCGGAGCGTCAGGGGCGCTGGGATCATGGGGACCTCCGGGAATATCGGGAGACAGAGGAGCAGTTGGCGAGACTGGACCCCGCGGGATCAATGGAGACCCTGGAGTGAGCGAGCTGAACTGGAAACAATGTGTGTTCAAACCAGATATCAATACACCACGAGGAGAATTGTCTGTAAGTACAAAGACGTACTCCAACGATTGAAGTTCAAGATTCCTCACTTTCCTGATGGACGGGCAAAATAACTGACTTACTAACTGACTGATCAACTGACTGACTACCTGACTAACTGAAAAACTGACTGACTGACCGACAGGCAGACTGATTGGTCAACCAACCGACCGACCAACCGATTGACTGACTGGCTGACAGACCAACTGACTTTCTGCCCTAACTTCCTAAGCAACTGACCAACTGACTAGACGTCCGACCGACTTAGTAAAAGACCCAATGTCTGAAGTACTGACTGACTGAAACGCACACCGTCTTTTTTAATATTTTGTCACCTGTGCTTCTTGAAGTCGATATGACACGACTCAGCTTGATCTCATCTTCATTTTATCCTTTCTGTTTCTAGTTCTGCTCGTTTTTAAAAATGCGCAGCGATACTTCGCTTCATGTCACTTACCAGGGTGAGACACATATCGGTCTGTGCAAGACCTGTTGCAAGACTTGGCACTTCACCTTTGACAACTTGACGTGCACCGACCCTGGAAACATCAACGCTGTGTTCAGCGCCTTGAACTTACTTACTGGTGGCGAAAGAAGTTCTCTTCCAACGTTTATGCACGGAACGATCTCCGGGTATTGCAACTCAGTCCCTAGGGGCTTGGTTCGCGTAGGGATCTCACTGGATGATTGCCCTGGATATCCCAGGGACCGGGAGAATATTTCCACCATTATGCAGCCTAACAGTCGGCTGATCATTCAGGAAGTTCCCGCCCCACAATTTTAAATATGAGAGTACTATTATTAAAAACGCTTGATTAAAAAGTGCTTCCTAATTCTGGAATTTAATTCAAGTTGATTTGAATTTTGCTACAACTTTTAGGTGCGCTGCATTGTCAGTATCTAAATAACTGCGCACCAACCCCTCCCCTCCCCTAACCCAGCATTAACCTATCTTGTTATCAGTCGACAAGGGGTGAGAAGGAGTGGGGAGGTGTGGGTGGGCAGTTCCTCAGATCCTGACATTAATCCACGTTTTTTAAATAGATACTTAAGTAAGTAACACGCAAGCGCACAATTATACACCCTAAGAGTAACAGAGTGGTGAACGTTGTTTATTTTAGCTGTTCTTTGTAAGACTAAAAACGATCGACAAGTTTGTTAGGAACTTTTAAGATATATTTTAAGATATATAAACAAGCTGCATTCAATCGCGCTTCTTAGGCCTCATTGGTGGGTTCAGAGATTTTTACTCAGGCCATGAATGAAAAGTCTCAACCAGATTCTGTACTTTATTTTTTCATTAAAAAAACTCTAAGAATCATCATCTGTGTATTACCTTAGATTAGAACGAGTCTTAACTGAGCAGGTTGAGTTGACCTGTGAAGGAAAAGCGGGAAACGTTTTTCTTATTCCACAATGCCCAGTACCACTCTGCCATGACACCAATTACGCACAAAAAAAAGGTACAACGCAGCTCTTGCTTTGACTCTTGTAATTCCAAGATTGCATTAGTAATTCTCCTTACTGTCTGCCCTACAATTCTTATGATGTTAGTTCAGAGAATTTGGTATTGGATCAACGTCAAAACTTAAATAAGGTCATTTCGGCTTCCCGCCGGCACGGGTTACGACAAATCTCCCGGCCCCACCCCACTCCTACAGTTTTTTGTCCCTTCCCTTCCTGCCACCCAATCACACTTCATTTCGTGACTTAACAGGAAAAGATTAACTCTCTTTAAGAATAAAAAAAATTACTAACTGTCGGAAGCCGACATTTGACACAGAGCCCACATGCTGAAAAATTTTAATCTTTCACCAAACATGCTCCGTGGGTTTTCATCATCCAGATAATCAAACAAGACTTTGAATACAGAGGTGAGTATCTTTACAGCAAATGCTATTTTCGCGTAATATTTTTCACCGTTATCAAAAATATTTTGATACATTTTCAGCTCTTGCGCTGTGGTTGGACCACTTTATGCTCGCATACAAATTTACTAGTCCAATGTTTACAGATGGCTTGTAGCCAGACTGTTAAATTTCGATTTTGCAACTCAATTTTCTTCGATTTTCGTTGCGTTAGGCTGTATTGTTCCCATTTGTTGTTCAATTACAGATACGGCTGCCCGCGAATGACAGAGCGCACTTTCTCAAGCGCAAATCGTTTCAATCCACGCGTGTTTTCGCGCGTGCATTTGTCTTTCCCGCACACGAAGTGCGAAATGTCTGTCGATGTCTTTCACATTGTGCGTCCAAATTTACTGCTATTGATTATTTCAAAAAAACTCGTTTTCCAATACTTTCAGTTGATTATACTGTTTACTTCTACTTCTCAGGCGATGACAAGATTTCTGGAGTTGATCATTTTCTTATCCGTTTGTCAAGCAGTTCATACTCAAAGCAAAATTCGTTGGGGAAAATTACTGTGTGACCAGGTAAGATACAACGACAGAACGTAGGGTTCCTGTGGTGTCCATCTGTGATATCTTTTTTTAGCCAAAAAATGCAAAACTTATAATTCAGGTCCGCGAAAACGCGCAAATCTGGAGAAATTTATCAATTTCATAACTCTCGAGTATGATAGCCACATATATTATCTTTACAGTCTTGACACACCGTTCAAAAGTCAGGTTTTGAGGGGTAAAAAATATCGGTTTAACTGGGGGTATCTGGTAGGATAAAACACCAAATTCTAAAGACTAACGAACTAAGACACGTATTTGCTTCTGTTGGAAGAAATAAGCTTTCTAATCGATCCTGGGAGTTGAAGGATCGAATGCCCTATCTTAAAGGGGAGAGAAACCATGCGAGGGTTCGAGAAGGACAGAAGACAGCCAAAAACTGGGAAATAGAGAAAAGATGTCAAAATCTTATTGCATTAGAAAAAACAGAGTGAAAGAGAAAAAAATAACAGAAAGATTTTGACAGGAGGTAAGTTCATATGCTATCATAATGAAATGGAAATTTCATCATCGCAGAAAGTAATTGATCAACCATATCAATAGTTTGCACTTTATTTCCCTTCCTTTCACCTTTTCATCCACCTTTCTTTATCCCATAACAGGTAGAGACTAAATGCAAGAAAGACTTCATCGGATCTCCCGGACCCCGTGGGCCCATCGGAATTCCGGGACCAACAGGGCCATCTGGGAGGAAAGGAATAAGGGGCCAAAAAGGTGCTAAGGGATCCAGTTATATTGTGGACCCCTTTCCACTTATTGGGTCTAAAGGGAGGAAAGGTGAACCAGGTAATATAATTTTTCACTACTCTCATTACTGGTGTATATGAAGTGTTGCTACGAAAAAAAATGAAAAAGTGATCTAAACATGTTAACAATAGATGAGCATTTCTTTAATACCCTTTTGTGGGAAACAAACGAAAAATAGGACAAGTATCCACGTATAAAATAGTTACCTTTTTTCTTTAATCGCAGGCCTTCCTGGTGTACGAGGGCCCAAAGGATTCCCTGGGAATAAGGGATTCAGAGGAACCCGGGGGGAACAGGGAGTCCGTGGACCTAAGGGGGACAAAGGGTCCCGCGGATTTCCTGGCATAGAAGGACCGAAAGGTCAGCCGGGAAGATCTGGATCAATCTACAGCTGGAAGACTTGTACATGGGACCATGATCCTCTGCAACAGTACGGGCTGCTCAAGGTTAGTCTTCTACTGTTGTGCATTTGGGTACAACCTTTTTACACGCTTCACAAATATAAAGTTTTGATGGAGCTCCTCTTTGTGAAGAATCACTACAACGAGTTTTAACTGTACTCGAAAGCGGGTGATATTCTGTGTTAAGGTGTCCTGTGTTACGGAGGTGCCCTGTGTACCACGCGCATAAAAACAAGAATCACGAACGACTAGCTTAGTTTATTCTTTCGAACGGGCGTGTTCTGGATAGGCCGAGGTTTAGCTACGGACGAATTGGATATGTGCGAGCAGTCTGGAATCGTAATTCTCAGTATTAGAAACGATTTAGGCTTCAATGAGGTTCAAACCCGTGCGTCCTATCTTCTTATCAAGTACTTCTATTAGCCTATTCCAGACGTTTAGCAAAGCGAAACGAGGTGCGATTGTAGCGTACGTTCGGTTTGGGTACGCGTCACTACGTGACCCGACTCGACCCAAGCCTCCCTCATGTGTTTTCACATCTTTGCTACTATCGCGTCGTTTACTAGCGCACTTTGCTTTGCGTCCCGGTGATTAAAAACCACCATCGTTCTCACGACATTTCAAAATTATTTCGGTGCAGGTTATTTTTTATCGCCTAGTAGAGTAGTGGAGTTGGAGGGTTAAGGGTTTCAGGGGGGGTTATATAGTTTTCAATGGGGAGGGAGGGACGATCAGTCGTCGCCAAGGGAACAGGTAAACTTTATAGTGACAAAATCAAAAACTTTTCACCCCCTCTCCCCCTCCGTCCCGTCAATAAGTAATGACCAGTCCCTTACAATGTTGTCTCCTGTCTTTCTTCAGGAATGTGTCTTCACAAAACAAAGTAATCTGAGTTTCTTGCACGTGATCTTTGAAGGGAGCATGCGCGTCGGCTTCTGCAATTCTTGCTGCAAGCGGTGGTTCTTTGCATTTAACGACCTCGAGTGTGAAAATGCTAACATAGAAGCCAGGCTACAAGGCACCAAGGAACTCGCAGGAATGGAATATCGTCACGTGAGACTCGAAGGTTACTGCGCAGTCCCCGCTGGGGAGGTGTTGGTGGAATTATGGGTGCAGGATTGTTTTGGCCATCAGAGAACATCGAAAGTTCCGTTCGTAAAAGTTGATTTGAGTCCTCGAGTTACTGTTGAAGAGATTAGTTTGAGTGATGTATAAAAACATTGTCTGAGGACTTTTTAACTGGATTGTTGTATCGTGGAAAGATCAGTTCTCTCTTACTATATCATAAAAGAGGAAATAAAACTATGTTGCATCCTTTCAGTGCAATTATTTCTATATTTCTTGTGCGTCAATGTTTTGGTTAGTGTATCTCGTATACATCTATCTAGCTCAGAGTCCTTAAATTCCCGGAAAGTAAAACAAATACCGGCAAGGACCAGATTGACACCCAAGATGTCCGTTAAATACATACATCCCATTCAATGGTTAGGCATATGATACGCGCGGATATCTTGCGAGTTGCGTGGTATTTTTTCGAGCTCCGAAGAGGCGAGGAAAAATACGAGCAAAATATCCGCTTTTATTATTTGTTGAAACATCGAACAAGGGATATATTATTCCACTATTATCATCTAATTGCAGAAAGTAGAGTACAAATACCGCGCGAGTAGAGTACAAATATCCTGCGATATTGTACGGTTATTTGAACAGTTGGTTATTTTATAAAAACCTGTTTAACGTGCGCGCTACGCTTCTCTATCCGCTTTGCTTTTCTCGCCTCATAAGAAATGAGCAGAAAGATTTAGCAGAAAAAAATTCCAAGCAGTATGCAGGACGCGTGTCATATAAACCTCGTAATAGACCTTATTCACAGTAGAGTCTCTGTGGCCCTGTGGTAGAGCTTCGGAGCGTGGAATCCGAAGCTCTGAGGTTCGTTTCCTCGTGCGGACTCAGAATTTTCATTTGTCCCACCCTTTTGACAAGAAGAAAAAAATCTTTCTTATTCTATCTACCAACATGACGCTATCGACATTGCTGATCCAAGCAGTATGCAGAACGCGTGTCACATGAATTCGTAATTATAGACCTCGTTCATCGTAGGGTCTCTGTAGCTCGGTGGTGGAGCATCGGAGCGCGGAATCCGAAGATCTTAGGTTCAGTTCCTCATGGGGACTCAGAATTTTTTCTTCATCTCACGCTCGTGACAAGACGAAAAAACATCTTTCTCTATTTCTTTACCAAACTCAAAACTTACCATCTCTGTTCCTCTATTTACAAACATGACGCTATCGACACTGATGATCCCAGCAGTATACAGGATGCGTGTCATGTGAACTTCGTAATAGGTATGTCTCACCGTAGAGTCTCTGTGGCTCGAAAAGTTCGCTACAATTCATTATTTTTGTCTAACGAAGACTACTTGATAGTATAGGGTACTTCTGGGAGACTGGGACCCAATGATTATCATGCGAAAAACATCAATTATTTTGATATCATACATTTTCGGAAGGTTTTGCAAAGTTCTCTATTAATTATCTCATCCTTGTTTTACTAGTTCCCTTCTTTTACCCTCTTTGAGGATCTGATTCATACGCTAAGAATGCAAGATCCTAGGGACAAATTTATTTTGAGCGTGCGCTTCACATCACATGATGTCACGTGATGTCACATGATGTCACGCAACATCGTATAAGAATAACTTTCGTTCGCTGTTTGGATCAAACCTGGTGCTGCACGCTGTTACTGAAACAGAGCTGAAAATGGCTGTAAAGGAATTAAAGGTCGTCCTGTTATACCTTGTGGCGTTTACTTTTTCTTCGGTAGCTGGAAAAATTATTCATGTCAGCAAGTGCCCCGAGGAAACACAAGCGTATGGAACTGTTGTTTCTGTCGACATCACACCGTGTCCGAGCGAACCATGCGTTTTCAAGAAAGGAAGCGTTGTGAATGGCACGATAACATTCAAAGCCCAAGAGCAAATTACAAATGATAGTTTGATTAAGGTGTATGGAAAACTTCCTTCTCTTCCCTGGGTGCCTTTCCCACTGGATCAACCAAAAGCATGCACTGGCCATGGACTTGAATGTCCGTTGAAGCCCAACGTCGAATACAAGACAGTCATTTCGCTCGAGATAAAGGACGCGTTCCCGAGCACTCAACTGATAGCGAAAATGGAGATGCTCGACCAAAATGGCAAGTACGTGTTTTGCTTTGAATTCCCGGCAAGAATCGCAAGCTCGTCTGAAATAATGGTTAGCAATTAATTTGATCGATTTGACGCTGTCAACTACAAATGGGACTTTGAACACGACGGGACAAAGTCTTTAATCAAGATTGATCCTGAAGTTAGCAAAAATGTTTATACCTTGATTTCGCTCAATTTTGAATAGACTTTGACGACGTCTTAGAAAATAGATTTTAAGAAGCTGATTATGTTTAAGTACAAAGACACTAAGAATAACGAATGTTATGTATGCGCGGTAAAGTATAATTTTTTACCGAACAAGTTTCGGTTTCCGGACACGCTAACTCTATTGTCAGTAATTGCATGTTATTTAGTTTGTTGAAAAAAATAAGCTTCGTAATGATCAGTGAAAACTTTCTTTAGAGAGAAAAATTAATGTAGTATACCATTAAATCCCTGAAGTTTTTGATAAAAATGTAAATGCAAACTTTTGTGAAACAATCTTTGCATTCTTGATGAGCTTCAATATGGACTTAATCACGCAACAGCGCAGGCGATAGTTCGGTTTCTCTCTTTATTCCCAGCCGAAGCGAATGGATCGTTCAAACGATATTACTTTCTTTAAAAACATTTTATGGTATAACAGCAGAGATCTCCATCTTTATCAAGTAGCTTTCGAAAGCAGAGATATTGGTATATTTCCGCTTGTAACTCGTGGCGAGATCGATTGCGCACGCCCACAGGATAAACCGGATCATAATCACACCACTATCGTACCATCTCTTGAAATCAACGTGTGTTTTCTGGATGCTTCATCACGTGGTATTTATGGAAACAATACATGAAGGGACACAAAACCTAGACACCTTGCGAAGTAATAAAAGTAGGTTCGATTTACACGAGCTTTGCGGCCAACAAGGCTTTCTCGATAAAATGTCTCGTCTCGTCACTTTCCTTCATAAAACTCCTATTTGCAGGAACGAGAGGAAGGACTTTTTAGGTTACTGCAATCTCAGTTTCTACGATCGAGTCCTCAGGAATCGAGTGAATAGTTTTTTTCCATGCTCTGCCGCGTGGCCATGTCTTTGTGGATCTCGGTGACGAAGTTCATTAAAATTTTCCATGTGTGCAAAGATTGCTTCTTAGAAAGCATTGGGGTACGGGATCGGATAGTTTTAGGCTTCATTCCTCGTGGGGACTCCGAGTTTTTTCTTGTCTCTAGTTTTTTTTTTTGGTCCTACGCCATGCACGCTCGTGACAAGACTAAAAAATATATTTCGCAAGCCCTATTCATGTGGACATGTACAGTAGAAAAAGCAAGTGATCGAAAAGTCTACATTTCGTTTACATTTGCAGGCTTCTTGATCCTGAATAGTCTTGAATTGTACGAAATACTAGAGAGCCAAATATTTTTCCACTCTGGCGCGCCTTACTAAGACGATAGGCATTTTATGATACGATTGCTCGTATTTCAATTTCTGTTTCTTGTTCGCTTCCCCTCTCCTGTCTTTTCTTTCTCCTCTCGTCTCGCCGGAGAGGCTCAATAAACAGTCGCTCTTACATGACTGAAAACGCTTGAGTTATAGGAAAAAAGGGATTTGCGTAGCTGGTAAATTTCTAGGCGCTTTTCATCGGCCAATTAAGCATGCAACGTTGTGTTACTCACGTGATTCTTTCAGCAGCGGTATCATGCTACTGTAGCATAACTTACCTTATTTATCTGAGAAATCCAGTCTTAATTTTTCGAGTTCTTTCATCGCAATCTGTTTTAATCTTAACCATTCCAAGTCATTATTAATCCCTTTAGATTTGTTAAAGAGTATTTCCTACGAACAAATGTTTTGTAGTCTCTTTCAAATTCAAGATATAATCGCCTACCGCATCTATAAGTGAAAGATAACAGTGAAAAAAAAAAAAAGATAACATCCGGCCCTTAAATATACCTGGCAAATTTCCGACACTTCTTTGGCTTTTCTAGACATCAAAATTTCTATTGAAGGCAACGGCTTATGCACTAGTGTTTACTACAAACCTACAGATTCACATAGTTACTTGTTGTATTCATCCTCACATCCATCACACGTCAAGAACTCCATACCTTTTTCACAGTTTCTCAGACTTCGTCGTTTATGTAGTGACGACTCTGATTTTTCCGAAAAATCAGAGGCAATGTGCCAGTTTTTCGATAAACGCGGCTATCCTGTTTCTGTCGTTCAAGCGGGCTACCACCGTGCCCAAATAATCGATCGACAGGCAGCACTACAAACGGCCGAGAAGGAGAACACTGACCGCATTCCATTTACTCTTACATTTCACCCTCACAACCACGCAGTTAAATCTATCATTCTTAAAAATTTTAAATTACTCCAAAACGATTCAGAGACTGGCACTATCTTTTTGCAACCCCCACTTATTTCATTCAAACGCGACAAAAACATAGGCAACTTTTTAATCAGGAGTTCATTTCAAACCTATGACCAATCTGGAACTTTTAAATGCGCTCGCTCACGATGCAAAACTTGTCCTTTCATTCACAACGTAGAGAAAATATCGGGACCCAAAAGATCCATTAAGATCATTGATCACTTTACGTGTACCTCCGCCAATGTTATTTACTGCATAACTTGCACTTATTGCAATAAGTTATACATCGGCGAAACAGGGAGACGACTGGGTGACCGATTCCGAGAACACCTTCGCGATGTGGAAAGAAATGACAAGGACGCATCCAAACCAGTCGCTAGACACTTTAATCTTCCTCATCATTCTAAACAGCATATGGCAGTTTGCGGCCTTTCCTTACATCTAGGCAGTTCGGAAAGCCGTAAAACACTAGAACAAAAATTTATATTCCAAATCGGCACCCTTAATCCCCACGGAATCAACGAGCGCTTTTCATTCAACTAATTTATTCCTGTTTTCTCGTCACCACATTCCCACCAATGGCGTAGCTCCACTTCCTACATATAAATCCACACACAACCCACAATTCCTCTAATCGCTCTGACGAAGGGCTAACGCTCGAAACGTCAGCTTTTTTACCCTTTACGGTGGCTAATTTACGTTTTCAACCCAGTTGTTAACACTAAATTACCAAAGATAACAGTGGTCTAGCACGCATGCGCCATTTTGTCCGTCACGCCATACGGGATATGGCTGAGTCATCTTATGCTCCTTGTGAGTCAGAAGATACACAAGATGTACTAACAGAGGAAAGGCAGTTTGTTCACTAAAATCGGTAAACATCTCTCCCTGTCTGAAGGAACCATGCAATCTCCACAGAGATACCACTGTTAACGGCACCATCACGTTCAACTTCAACAAAAAAAATCTTTGACGGAGAACTGAGAGTGTATGCAATAGTGCACTCTTACAAGGTTCGCCTTATTTTACCTCAGTCAAATCCTTATACCACGCTGTCCCAGGGCCAAAAGTGTCCACTTCAGCCAAGAATCCAGTACAAGGTCGAAATTTCCGTTCCGGTTAGGGATGCTCTTCCTTCGATTCTGTTTGGCACTTGACACTTCTCATCATAAATGGAAAGGTGGTATTTTGCTTTGACATCCAGGTACGAGTCGTTGGAGATGAGCTGCCGAAAACTGAACAATATTTGAGTTTGAATTAATTTTGTATCTGACCGATGACCGCATCTTTTAAAGCGTTGAAAACCCTTGAAGAGTCAGAGTGATCCACACACAAATGATTATAGTAATAACAATAATGACAAGAAATTGTAGGGCCGTTTTTCCGGGCCAAAAAAAGAGGCCGTAATAACAAGCTTAGGCGAGTTTCCACTGTATTTCCTATTTTTGATTAAACCTCAGTACCCTTACACAGCCTAAGTTCCTCAGACGACGTGAGGCGCACGCTCATTGTAAAGTCCAACTTCTCTCGTGATGTAGCTAACGGTGCAAGCGTCTTATCAGCGCGAGCTAACGTTATAATCCCACGATCGTTTATCCGACCGGGCATGTTTGATTTGGAGTTAGAGTGGACGGAGAGGGTAGAAAGCGGGGGAAGGGCGTGATCTTCACTCCCCACCCCCACCCCTCTCCTTGTTTTTTAACCGTTGACCACCCCCCTTGGTACAAATTTATTTCTCTTCCCGACCTTCCGCTGCCATTAAAATCAAAGATGGCGGTCATAATTTTCGTTATGAAATTATTGAGCATTCGCCATGATATCCTGATGACCATCAGTTACAGTTTCACAAGAAAAATATATTCGGCCAGAATTGCTGGATGAGTTTGGATTTCGTATTATTATTATTAGTCCTAGAATTAAACTTCACAAAACCTCCTTGCGGAAATTAAAGCTTCGAACAAATTTCAGAAAACGTGATTGATCGTGAACAACTAAGTACTTGAAAATATTTGCCTGGGAAAAACCGTGCATGCATGTTTTGATCTTGTTCACGTGTAAATCTTCACCTGTAGAAATGCTAAGAAAACTACACGACACTGAACTGAAAATATACCTCAATCCTCACTCCTAACATCAAGTGCTTCTTCTCTTAACCTATTTCTACATATTTTCTGATATGAAAGTTTTGAGAATTTGGTATTTTATCCCAGAATGCTGTTGCTGGGTTGATCACGTTGAATGTTTCGTCGCACTCGGTTGGACAGCGTGGAGGTTGATCTTCTGATTTGCCTACATCTCATGACCAACGCAAGTTCGATGATGAGAACTTTGAGTCATGAGCAAGAGTAATCCTAGCATAGGAACCTTTGCAGTGATCAGTGGAGGTAAAATTCTATCGAGCTGCTGCAGTTGAAAGTCAGTTATTTTTACTTGAGAATGGCTGTAAAGATAACTAGCATTTTTCTGGTCTGCATCCTCGCCACCTTGAGCACTTTGGCAGTTGGCAAGAAACTCTCGTTCAAAAAATGTGGAGGGTACTCGGATATCGAATCTGTGGATATCCCTTCCTGTTCATCGGATCCGTGCGTTTTAGAAATCGGTTCAACTATCAATGCCTCCATGTCCTTCACTCCTAGTGAAATGGTAGAAAAAGGAACGATAAAAGTGTTCGTGTTGGCTTTTGGGTTGCGTGTGCCTTTTCCGTACCCCGACAATGATGTATGCAAAAATCACGGGCTGGTGTGTCCACTGAAATCAGAGCAGCAGTACGACGCAAAAATGTCCCTGTATCTAAAGAACATCTTTCCACACTTTCACTTGAAAAAAGCAAAAGCAGAAATTATGGCAAAAGACCAAAGCCTCAAAACGATTTTTTGCTTCCAAATAGATGTCATATTCAAGTACAAATGAATTCGTTCATCTTTTCTATGAACGAGTGTGAACTGGCGACGCTTGACGAAAATATTCAGTTTGATCCTTAAATATTGTAACAACAAACAGTGCACAAATTATATACCCGGATTGCTGATCAGAGAGGAGAACATTAGATTACTCAATCAGATATTTAGCTTTCCTGCAGGAATTCCTCGCGATTACAACATGAGATGTGAAAAATGCTACTGTATTTTTTAAATTTTGCTTTCCCTTTTATATATTGTGCTCGTCTGCTTGATTTTTATGCTGTTGATGATCTTTGCATTAAATAAATTTATTCAAACTATCATTGTTAGTGTATTTTTGGGGCTGGAAACATTTAATCAGTTTTGGCATATTTCAATCTTTCTTTCCTGGTTTCGCTTTACATGACAAAATTTTCGCCAAAAAGCGTCGTCAAAAAAAAAAAACGCAAAACACAAAAAGCGAACAGATTGCTGAGGAACAGAAGCAAAAACCGGTTGATCAAAAACAGGGGAAAATTCACCAGTGGGAAGGTGACTTTACATCCCACCCTTATCACGTGCGGTTGACCCTTTAGCTCCCAAGATCTGATCGTAGATTCCCCCCTCTAGCTCCTGCAAATAATTTCCTTGAAAATAAGTGACATGACAAGAATTTGATGTTAGACCAAGAAAACAACTTTTGCCTGAGAAGTTTGAGTATTCTCATTACCTGTTTGGTGGATTATGTATGGATATTACAGGGAGAAGTTACATGTTAATCACTTCTGGGAGTTAAAGAGTTAAAGCTGGTCACGGTTTCTCCCTGAAATATCACGCAATACCCAGCCAGTATGTACCCACCCCCGGTAAGGAACTGTTCGATGATTATTTCCCACAACGCCCTGCGCACTAACCAAAACATGGAGGACGAAGCTGAGCTAGAGGAATGCGGAGGCGATGAAGATAATTTGCTCTCAGAAAGCCTCGATTTTCAGAGCTCAACAATCGGCAGTAAAGGGGGAAGCAAATGGAAACTTCTTGTGTATCTTCAATGTTGTAAGTTTAATTTCAAGCAAACTGCTTTTCGGTACGAAGTTACAAACTTTTTAACATAGTTGCAACAACGTACCTAAATTACTCTACTAAATTAATAATGAGCTTGCGGACTTCCCTTATTTCGGCTGCGACTGCTTCGTCTACTTATTGCCCGAGATTAACTGGTTTTTCCTAAAATAAAATAATTGTTAAAACTTCACTCCATTCGTTCTCTTGGTGTTACGTTTTAGATTTTTCAACCATTGCAGCCGTTTTGGGGACTGGTATTATAGGTGAGTGGCTCTAACCCTTTTGCTCCCAAGATATCAAAGGTAAACTTCTTACTGTCTGCTGCAAAATTATTGTGATGTTAGACTTGAAAATTTGGTCTTGGATCAACTTATGTAATCCCCTAATTGATATTTTTCTTAATTCTCATCACTTGTCTTGATTGCTTGATATTATTTTGATATTGTAAGGAGAAATCCTGTCTTGGTCACTCATTGGAGCTTAGGATGATTTTTTGATTGCTATTTTGAAAAT